TACATAACTTTCACTTGAAAAACATAAATAACTAAAAGAGTACGAAAGCATAAGGTAAACCAGGGGTCTCCAACCTACGGCCCGTGAACAGATTTTTTCCGGCCCGCGGAAAATTAGCATACTGAAAAACAAAAGTTATTTTCATCTGATAATATATTTCCTTTTAAGCATTTTTACCTTTGAATAAAAATAGCACTTGTCTCTCACTTGTCACTTATGTTCTAAATAGTGTAAAACTGACTGTAAATAAGTAGCGGTCAACCCTTGAGCGATAATAAGTAGTCACGGACTGTATGAGTAAGGGTAGAGAGCTTAGCGCTGTTGTACTTTATCGCAGAGATTCTTTTAGCCAACAACAAAGTTATATAAGGAAACATAAAAACTTGAAAAAACTAACGCAATAAACTCTCAAAAACCACCACTGAGCTCTCAATTATATAAATTTCTGGGTGTATGGGGGAGGGGCTTGACTTTCAGCCCAGAAATATTGCTGGCCCGCCTATCCCCCAAAAATTAACAACGTGGCCCTTGAGTAAAAAAGGTTGGAGCCCCCTGAGGTAAACTATGGGCTATAATTGATGACTATTTCCTGAATAACCATGTAAAAAGTTGAATAGTAAGATTTCAGGGACAGGAAAAACCGGTCATTAACCTCCTGAAGTTGATGATCAATAATTCCAAAAAATAATGTAAAATTGTAAATTAACTCGAAATCCTCCCATAATTTACTTGACAATCTAACTGGCGTTTTACATTCCACAATAAAAACTCAATATTACTTACTTATTCCTGTCGTTTATTCTCGTTCCAGCTATATTCGAGCAATTGAAATTGCTTTAAAAAGTACCAGAATTTAAAAATAAAGTAATAGCTTCTGACGAGTGTCCAAGTGATTTTTCAATTAATAATTGAGTGTGAAATGAGACTCATCATCACTCAAAAAACAAAAAAATGCTACTTTACAAACTAAATATCCACCAGAAGTTCACCGTATTTGAAATATATTCAATAAAATCAGTTTAGGTAAAAACAAGGGGCCAGTCACAACCCTAATAAGAGCCAAAAATGTATGAAACTGATTTGTTATTTATGAAGCTCAAAGGGGAGATCAACATGTTCCTCAAAACAGGTTTAGGTCATTTACTTGAAGAACAAGACAGAGAGCCTTTTCCAGGAAATAATTCCTCAATTTCAGATCAACTATACGAAAACAAAAAAAAATTACTCATATCATTTTTTCTGCCCCTTCACTGTTAAATCCAACCCCTCAGCAAAACAGCAGCCCCCGAAATTATCGCAAGACTGCTTCGCTTCCTTCTTCATGCTCACCCATACGGAGCCCAATCATCTTCTAACTGTAGTCATTCTCGAACCTATCATCATGCTCCCAACCCTTGGAAGACTTGGAGCCCTTCTTACCGTCTGACCACACTCCCTTTGGCTTATTTGTCCATCCGCTGCTTTCCTTCCATGTAGAATTGGGTTCGTTGCTACCCTTACTCTTATTCAATCTCGCGCCAATGCCTAAAATTGGACGACCGTGCTTTCCTGAATTAGGAGGTGCATCCCTAAAATGCGTAGACGAATTTTGAATGGAGGTATCAGATATGAAACCACTGGAGTAGCCAAGAGACGAGTTGTTCATATCTGAAGTAGAAAACTGAGGCAATTGGTCATTGGAGGTTTCTATAGGGCTCGTGACTTGCAGAACATTGACGCTGCTCTGGTAGCTGTCAAGGGTTTTGTTGTTCTGGGTAGTTTGCACGCTCAGAACAGAAGGTGTTCCCTGAAATAATAATGTACGGTTTGAAAATGAAGGTAAAAACAATAATAAACTAGTTTTTGGTGTGTCAAAGGCTTCGACTGCTTTGGTAGTTAGCTTCGTGTTCTGGTTAGGCAATGTTAACAACTCCCCGAACAACCTAGGGAGCATAATGGCTATTTACAGTTAGTCAGCCATGTAACATTGCAGGATCATCCCAACTTCAACAAGATAAGTTCTCGAAAAAAATATCTGATCGAAGTTGGGTTCGAAATTATGACCTTTCGATCGTGAATCAGACGTTACCGCTGTCATATTAAAAAAAAATTGTTAAGAGTTTTAGGTATTTTTTGAAAAATTAATTTTGATGAAATTTCTGACTCTAGTCAGCACATAGTATCTTCAGAAAAGAGTTCATGACACATTTCATTTGACACAATACCTTCTTTTCTTCAACACTAGTCATTCTTAAATAGTTGTAAAAAAAGTTTACCTACATTACCAGAAAATCATAAACAACAGTACTGTCATAAAAAGAATTTGTTGATTATATATTAGAGGTTTTATGATGAAGAATAATACCACAAATGTCAACTTATCATTCACATAAAACAAAACACACCTAATTATACAAAAAAGTATTCAACATACAGAGACTTAATAAAAAAAAAGTATTCAAGAAAGTGATTTTTAGAATAATCGCCAACAGCATTTCGTTTTGAATTCAAACAATATTCATTTAATTCCCAGTGGTGAAGTCATGACTACATTACAAATCTTGCTTTCTCTCTTTCCTCTCCTTTTTTCCCTCATCTATTTCCCTTCCATTTTTATCGCTCCTTGGAAAACATTTCAAACATGTTGACATCAAATTAGTCATTACGCTGTGAAATCCTCTTTCTTTATCTCTTCAGGTCGTGATGGAAGAATAGAAGCAGTATTTGCTGCTATCTGAATCAATGTGCCTTTTTCTCACTGCTGTCTCACCCTGATATATGTGTCAAAAAAAATTTCTTTTTTTTTTGTTAATCATATCTTCATTATAAGACATATTTTTAACTGTAATACGTAGTGGGAAATAAAACTATTATCATTATTAAATTTTAATAGACCACTTTGGGTAATGATTTCGTTCGGAGCACAAGTATTTTTTTCTATGTTGGCTACTCTATGTACGTCATTAGTGTCAGTTCTCACATGTAGATAATGTGTTTATTGTCTATTTGAAAATCGTTTTTATTTTATTCATTTTATCAGCTACACGATAAAGATTTTATTCAGAACCCTAATAGTTTTTTAAGTTGGCAACTCTGTGTATTTATCGTGTCAGTTGTCATACGAAGCTTATGTTTTCAAGGGCGGCACATCCAAGGAGACGGCAAATCGAGTGATTCATCACCTAATGACGTAATATTCAAAGGCATTGTCCCGACCGGCGGGCGCGCAATCTAAGCTTCAACATCGCCATCTACTGGCATCTGTTAAGACTAAGATGCAATGAAACGGTCGCTTGTCAGCAGGTGGAACCTCTCGCCCCCCGCTTGGAGGCGCCGCAAATTCGGTACAAGTATACATAGTCACAGTGATGTTACGTGCAGTACAATTGTACCGAATCTAGGACAATCGAACTAAATGCAGTACGGCAGTACCTCTTTCGCCATTTTAGTACAATTTTGCTTTCTTTTTCTAAAAAATAAAACTTTTATTCGACATTTGACAGATAGACAATAGTCTCGAGTTATGAATTAATATGCAGATGATGTATCGCAGTCCAGCATAGGTATTTTATATCGCTGTATTTCATTCTGTCGATACTCTGTCAAACGCACAATCTCGACAACAGACCCCATGGGCCATGACCCATGAATATAATAAAATGATGTTTTGTTGGCACTGTTAACAGTTTTTGTCTTTCATTCACTTTTGCCTGGCATAATTTGTGCAATATCTCCATTTTATTTTTTGATTGTGCACTGGTTCTGGATGCCTTATTTTCAGATCATGTGAAAAATAAATTATGCAAGAAAAAGGACGATTTGAAAAAAGTGTTATGTATATGTTTTGATATGAAAATTCCACCCACCCCTGTATTATGATTCATATATTCATAATATGATCATAAATTCACAGAACACTTATATTATTATGATGTTCCATGATATTACATAGTGCAGTACAATTAAACGTAATTTAGTACAATTTTCATTTTTGTATTGCCACAATTTTTCGTTCCCGAAAAACATCACTGCATAGTCATAACCTATGACAGGTGACAGGCAGGGGGAATCCCCTGAGCTCGTTTCTCAGTTGGTAGGTTGTAGGTACTTGTACTCAATTATGTTGTTAACAGTTCTTCGAAGGTGGTTCTAGGAATAATTATTGATATTTAAACTTTGTTAGTGTTGATTATAATCAAATGTATCATCTGTCAGTGCAAAACAGTAGTGCAAAGGAATCGTAATCATGGCAAGTACTTACCTTGCATTTATTTATTGTATGACATATTATCAAAAATAAATAAGGTACACTGGGGTTTGACCGCCATAAAAAATCTGAAGTTGACTTTACAATAAATTTCTAATATGAATAAAATAACGTAGGATAATAAAATAAAGATAATAATATACTATGTTGCTTTAGGTAGAAAACAAGTGTGCTATATTGTCATTTACTATGGTGGAAGAGGAAAAACAAATGATAGTTCTCACCAGAGGTATTCCGGGAAAGAATGATAAACATCACCTGAAGATATTGATATAATTTGACTCTGATATAAGTGTAACTGGAAGATCTATTATTGAGCCAACTCAGCATATGTAGTCGTAGGGCGACATACTTGGTATTGCACTCCAGCGGTCAAACAGCTAGCGGCGGTCCTAGACCTCAGATTCATGAACGTGAATAACTACACTTTATAAGTGACAAACTTAAACGGGTTACTGTTCAATTTATACTGGGAAATTCATTTTTACCTAGATTATTTGTGACTTCAAAATTATTTTTATCTCTTGACTTACTGAAGACAGACAACAATTTTCAACTATTATAAAATAAAGATAGTAATAATTAATCTGAATGTACATAGCATCTTTCCATCATTGACACACAAACTTCTTTCATTTCCCTAGTATTCTGAAGCTGTTTCAAATATTTTCTGAAAATTTCATCAAAATTGGAGAATTGAATAGAACTGGCCGATACTTGATGAAAATCCATATTGAAAAATCAATTATACAGTTTATAGTCCAAACCTGTTACTGGAACCATCTAAACACAGCAGCAACCATATCTTACTCTCTTTTGTTAATTCATTGTTTGAAATGAGCATAAGTCTTATGTCATTCATAAGCTTATTGTATTGTTCCAAGCATTCCTTTTTTATGGAAGTACCATTCATGAAAAGCTAAAAATTTTAACAAATATTATAAAGCACAACTTCACCTCATTTGACAACCACAACATATGGACATTTCATAAATCAAATTGCTTTACCTGTGTTGTTAATAGTTGTAAGTCTTGGGGTTGACCACTTTCCAGAAGCAATTGGAGATTTTCCACCAATGGAGCTACTAAGAATGGGAAAGGATCACCATTTGCCATCCGACCTTTGTTATAGAAATCTCCTAACATCCGTACGCAATTTCGAAAACCTACTGAATTTGTTTTTTTATGTAGAATGTCAGTGCCTGAAAATCAATAAAGTTATTAGATAATTGTGCAGGAACTATTCACAGCGACTAATTATAATTCATTCACATAATTCTCTATGTAACAAATTCAAATTAAACAGTAAAATGAATTCTTGTATATTTTTCAACTAGCGAAAAATGTGTTCATTCCAAATCATAAAAATGGAGTTTTCCTACTTTCGTCTTCAACTTGCATCCTGAATCATTCTAGCAAGTAATGACCATTTCTTGCGAGTTGAATAGTATACTTTTTCTTTGACTAAAATCAGGAAAATTTCAAAATAAAACTAATTTTTGAAAGATATCCCGAATAAGGGTGATATCATTAAATTTCATAACAAGAAACAAACATACTGTTGTAAATCATGCGCTAAAGAACATAACGCCGGCCACCACAGGTAGCCATAAACCAATTGTGACTTGGTCAAGGCCACGCGCAGCCTCGATTATGCTAGTCTTTGCATTGGCTTCGATGGAATGCTGAGGAATTTTCTACGGCCTTAGATTGCCAAATATAAACACGATCCACTCGCCTATCGAGACAGTCAAGTGCAAGTGACAGAGCGGTACACGAAGCAATCTAATAAGGCGATAGGCATTTGAATAATAGTTTAAGTCAAAGTCAGCAGCACTCCTTGACCTCCATGAGTTGAACACTCTGACCAAATGGCGGTGGGTGCTTGTTAGTTTTTTTCCACCAATAAGTGTTAGCCCATCTGGGCCTGGAGCAGCAAAATTCTTGAAACCCACAAGAGCTCTTCGAATGTCATCCGGGGTTATGGGGTTGCGCAGTTCATTGAGCTCAGGCTGTTGAAGCTCTCTGTTGAAAGCTTCGAACTGTGCTAGGGCTAGAGTGTCTAACTTGAGTGGCTACAGGTGATCATAGATATCCTCCCAGAAGGATTCCACATGATCAGCGGTTGGCGGATTATCCATAACACGAGGAGGCTTTTGGAATAAGTGAGAAGGTTTCTCGCGGAACCTAAGATTTCTCGTGGAACCTAAGGTTTTCCGCGATACTTCTCGCTCGCCTCACAAGTGACTTCTTAGCAGCCACTAGCATTCGTACACTATCAAGGCAGTGCTGTTTGGTGGTCAGCAGCATGCCTTGACTTAAAGATGGATACGTCATAGTTTGACGGCTATTCGCCGCACTGTGGGCGCGTGAAAGGCCTGTTGGCCGCCCTGTAATCCATCACACATTGGATACGAGATGCGTGTTGTCTCGCCGACGTGATCTTAGCCTCCATCTTGTATACACGCCGTTCAATCTTCCGAATCGCAAGGAAGATCGCAATTTGGTAATTGTTATAAATAACTACCTTTAAATATAAGAAGTTCATTGAATATTCAATTTGTATTTCTTGGGTCACATTGGGTGACAATGTACATGGTGCTATTCAGTTAATCATGGGATAAAAAATTAGAAATTAGAATTTGAAAAATTTCGTTTCATAATTTTTAATTAAAAACTGAGAAACAATCTTCTGTTTCACACGCCAAGTTGTATGACAATATTTTCATTGATTACGCCATTGAATTTGGAGAAAATGGCATGTATAACCCGTTTTGAAAGAAAATGTTCACTTGTGTTACATTTTTGGAAAGAGAAATGTATAATCCATCAAATAGCCAAAAAAGATTACAGGGTTTCGTTCAAAATTCTTGACATCAGTTAATTTTCAGTAAAGTCAAAGTAAATTTTCAATTTTTTTTTTCATTAGAAATGTTGGCTCCAAAGACATCCTGAATGTCAAATTTCTTGACCCAAAAACAACTGAATGGTGCCGTATAAAATAATTTTGTTGTCGCCCTGTATACCTTCCATTGGAAATAGAAGTGAAGCTTCATCAGTGGTGCTTGGCTGAACCACAAATGCATTGCTGGACTCAACTGCCTTAAAAGGATGAGCCTGAGTAAGTGAGGTTGATGATATCTTTCCTTATGAAGAGGCCATCTATGGGATCGACAGAGAACTCAATTCACTCTGTATCAATCAATGGTTTTCAATATCTCAAAAATATCAATAGTCGTGATTTGTTTGTTTCAATACTATATATAATACTCACCATCAACATATTGTTGTAGTTTTGCTAGAAAAAGTAACCGAATATTTTTATTCTGAACTTCTTGAGATAGAAATGATCTCGATGATATCATGTAAACTAATTTGGAGGCCAGATCTTCATCCCTCAAGCAATTTTGGTAAATAGATTCAAAACTTTTCCTGAAAAAAAATTAAAGGTGAATAAAAATATTAATGGTTATTAATTTTGTGTTATTCATAATTATTTTACTAATTTAAATATATTTTCAGTGATAACAACCCAAAAACAATGATAATCATGAGGTTATTGTGATTATTTTATTTGCTGTTTCCGGATTTATCCAGTCCCATTATAACTGTAACGTCCATTTGACTGTGTCGATATCCTCGTGGCTAGCCTTTATATATAGTAATCGAATGCGCCGTTGAAATCAGTAGCATTATTCTGGCTGCTTCTAGAGCTGCAGGAAACATTGTGCATTTATACTCTCTTAGCTATGTCACGTTTAGTTAATGGTTACCAGTTTCGGCCGGAGTTATTTTCTTTCGGGCATGATTTACAACAATACTATCGCATATATCATGTCTATATTTGTTAAGATTATGGAAATTTTGATAACTTAATACTAGTATCTATTCTTCTTCTGTTTTCTGCAATCGTCATGAAATTGCCATAAAAAATTCATGCACCGAATATGGTTCCATGTTACACGACAAATCAAAAACTAGATTCTTAAAAGTATGCCGTCTGCCTTCTTCTCTGTAAATGATTGTATAATTTGATGGCCATATAGCGTGGACCTCTTTCTGTATTTCTTAATCTATGTGCAGAAAGAATGGGTTTCGAGTTATTCCTAGTAAAGTACTCATGAATGTTTTTATGAATGATGAATTTTTATTTATTGTTATAAACGAAGTGTGCTTGCCAAAACGAATTTTTTTTTATATGTAACTGATCTAAGGCATGTGAAATATCGTTGACTTCAGAATTATCGTCATCAATTTTGGCTTTAGTTGTAACTGCGTTGGACTCAGGAATGTACATCATTATGTTCCTGGATCTCCTTTCGCGTTTTTCCAGTTCATGAACCACTGAATCGAAACCATTTTGTTGAGCTGGAGATGCTTTAGCATGCTCGAGTGTAGTGAGTTTGCTCATTCATCTTTTGTTCAAGAGTTACAATTTGTTTTTTCATAATTGGCAATAATCTAAGCAAGCCTTTCTTGGCAGTTGTTGCAAAAATACTTCAATACTCTTTTACTTTGGAGCTGCATACATCTTATTTCAGAAGATGTAAGCTCAGCACATGTAAAGTGCATTCTTTGTATCACACTTGAAGCATTGCATGGTTCCTTGGTGTCAAAAGTATATCACTTTTGACTATTTCTCCTGGCCTATTATTTTTTGGGTCCTTTGTTTTATACAAATGAAAAGGACAACGAGATAGGAGTTCTCTCCAAGACAAGAAAACACTTTATACTGAACGAATTGCAGTGAAATAGTTTGAAAAGGAGTTTTCGGAGTTGGTATTTTCGAAATTAATGTGATGAAAGGATCCACAGATTCACCACCAATCTTATATCCAAATAATAAACTTTTCAACTGCAGAACGTCAGCTAATATTTCAGTTTTAAACAGAATAAGAAAGCCACGTGTATTTACTGTACACACAAATATTGTGATTCTAGATTCAATACCTCAAACATAATATATTGTAAATTGATGGATGTAGATGTTACTATGTTGTAGGAGATCATGATGAAAAGAGAAATGAAAATTTCTATTTTTTTACCACTTTTATTTGTTAGTTAGTTACAAATAAAAGTGGTAAAAAACATAGAAATTTTCATTTCTCTTTTCATAATATATTGTAATGCTTATACTTGAAAAAATAGTTAGGTCAATGGAATATATTCACTTATGTAAAAGGAATGTCAATGCTTTTTCGAGATTGAAAAATGTCTGAATAAAAACACGTATTCACAACTGCTGCGGCAGTACAACTTCTGCAATAGTTGTGTGACGGATGATTTATGGTTTAGTCAAATTGAGAATAAAAATTTGACTCTCACCTACTTTTCCTGGAATGCCAGCCCCAATAGTAACAGCAGATTGTCGATATAGTATGGTATCACTGGGCGGTAATAGGTTAAGTATACCAGGAGTATACCGAATAACATGTACTCAATTTGAAAATGTTTATGTTTCTTGGTGGTTGTTAGAAATTGAAAATTTTCAGGAGAGCAAATAAAATAAAAGTGAATAAAATGGTAAAATCATTAATATAAATTCTAGAAATAATTGGACCAAAATATTCGTTGCAGACGAATCATGCCCAAAAACTTGCAGACCACAGCTGATAAACCAAGAGCAGCAGACAACCTGCTAAAAACTAAAATACACACCATGATCAATTGAGATATGATTTTTTTGGGTTATTTTCGTTACAGGCCATTGGGCTTGAAGAAATTATCATTATTATTAACCCTAGATCGCTACATCTTTATAAGCATCGACATAAGGGTCATTTTCGTAATAAGGAAAGAATATTCACATAAACTATTTTTTGCACAGTGTACATTTCTTATTCTACATTCGGTTGAGGTGTGTTGTTTAAGCTTCATTTCGATCCATATATTGATAAATATTGTGACGAATATTGAGATATTATTCTTGGTGAGTTTTTTGATATTGGGTGGAGTCTGGAAGACATTGTTTCAAAAAAATCTTATGTTTTTTGTGATGTTTTTCAGATATGATACAAAACGGTTCACATTACAATATCGGTACATAAACAAAAATGAGCCGCAAAACTTCCTGAGTGGTGTGCTGATCATATTTGGGATAGTGAAGATGGTTTAGATGATGATGCATCAGACTTGGAGGAGACTGATGTGAATAATATAGAAGATATTGACATTCAAAATATTCCTATAATTTTTGAAGATGGGATTACATACAGTGAAGATGATGGATTAACAGAAGAGAGGATAATGGGAAATAATTCCACTGGTCCTGTATTGGAAGAAAGACACACACTGGAAGCAGAAGATTCGGAAGATGAAACTTTAGCGGATATAGGTAGAAAAGCGGCACAAAACAAAACTGTAATAAAAAATGACAAAAAAAATAAGAATATAATTTGGAAGAAAAATCTAGTGTTGGAGGAAATTGCGAAAACTTTCAGAGGAAACGATGAATTACCTCAAGACATTATGGCTCTCAGTACCCCATACTCCTATTCAAATGCTTTTTTACTGATCAAATAATAGTGGACGTTGTAGACCAGTCAAATCTATTCTCGCTGCAGAAAGATCCCAATAGGCCAGCTAATATTACTGCACAAGAATCACATAGATACTTGGGCATTTGTATTTATATGTCGATAGTTCACATGCCTAATATCAGATCCTATTACAGCTCAAATTCAGGTTTCACTCCGATAAAGGAAGGGATGAGCGAAAAGAGATTCGAAAAAGTAAGACATTATTTACATTTCAATCATAACAGTAATATGTTACCAAGAGACGAACTAATCACGATAAACTGCATAAACTGAGACCTATAATCACCAATATTCTAGCACGATATCCGACTGTTCCACTCGAAAATCATTTATCTATTGATGAACAAATGTGTGCCGTTAAGGGCAGACATAGCTTGAAACAGTATATGCCTGCCAAACCCTACAAATGGTGAATCAAATTATTCATTCTTGCTGGTGTGTCAGGATTTTCCAACAACTTCGAAATTTATACTGGAAAGGGCAATGAAAGTGAAGCTTTGACAGATGCTGAAGAAAATATAGAAGTCACTAGTAACCTACTTCGAAGATTGTGTAGAATTATCCTAGTGAACCAAAGCTACATAGTTCATTTTGACAATTTTCATAAGAGTCTGCCCCTAATTACTTCTCTGGCTAACAGAGGAATACTTTCTCTGGGTACAGTACAGAGAACTAGAATACCAAATTGTAAGTTGCCACCAGAGAAAGACGTGAATGAGTGGCAACAAGGTAGTTTTCTGGAATACACATGATGGTGTTGATATTTCGTGTGACTGCTGGAAACACAATAAAACAGTTTGCTTACTCTCCTCCTATATGGGAGAAGTACCTAAAACTACTCTGATAAAATTCGATAGGAAGCAAAAGAAAAAGATTGATGTGGACTGCCCAAACACCATCATATATAATCGCCACATGGGATGTGTCAACTTGATTAATAGTCTCATTGGACGATATAAAATCAAAATCCGTTCGAAAAAATGGTATATCAGGCTATTTTACCATTTGCTGGAGCAACTAATTGTAAATTTCTGGTTTCTGTATTACAGAACAAAAAGCATCATTCCACTACCACAGCTTATATACCACCAAAGGATGTGAGGCTTGATTCAACTGGTCATTGCAAGTCCATTACCTTCATCAAATTTCAAAAATGTGGCTTGAATTTGTGTTTGAATAAAAACAATAATTGTTTTATGAAATTTCATGCAACTTGATTTTTTTCACCACAAACCACTTTGTAACTCATAAATATGATGGAACAATTTTTTTCCATAAATAAATATGTTTTAGATGATTTGAATTTTTTTACTATTTTTGCCTGATTATTATCGATGATTTCTATCTGAAAATATGTTTTTACTTTAGGTTGAGGTGTGTTGTTTAAGCTTCATTTCGATCCATATATTAATAAATATTGTGACGAATATTGAGATATTATTCTTGGTGAGTTTTTTGATATTGATAGAACAATTTTTTTCCATAAATAAATATGTTTTAGATGATTTGAATTTTTTTACTATTTTTCCCTGATTATTATCGATGATTTCTATCTGAAAATATGTTTTTACTTTAAAATAAAAAATCTCGCAATGTAGGGTTGAGTAACTTCCAATTCATATTCACATGAAAACATACAAGAAAATATATCCTAATATTTTCTAGAATGAAAATTTTTTTATTATCCAATAATATTGTTCATGATATATTTGGCCAGGTCGGTAGCCAGACGGTTCAACGTGAGTGCCTTGTTCACTCACTCGAATTGACTGCCGTGTTGGTCGGTGGTTCAAGCCCCAGTCTGAACGATCGATTTTCACTTGTTATCGTCTAACTCGTGTTAGGAATCACACGTTAAAAGGTAAGACCTCGGTAATCCTTAGCTCACACAAGTTTTGACTTCTGATGATTGTCGTTCATAGGGGTGCGACAGCTGGTTAACGGAAAAACAGATTTCAAACAGATTTAATACACTTCTTCGATTGACGACTTGTTTATTTTGTGGAAATTCATGTTCACTGAGGATACACTACAAAAACACACTTTTGTCTATTTTCCACTATATTTCTTTATTGTTGACTGGTTTCGGCTATTATACCATTTTCAATGGTTTCAATGAGTTTTGAAAATGGTATAATGGCCAAAACCGGTCAACAATAAAGAAATATAGTGGAAAATAGACAAAAGTGTGTTTTTGTAGTGTATCCTCAGATTTAATACAGGCCATATCTTCCATCAAGTGGTAAAGTTGCTATATTCTAAACCTCAACTGGATGTGATTTTTTGAACTGGATGTAAGTTCATGCAAGATATTATATCTTTCGAACCAATTGAGATAGATTCATGCTTCAAAATCCAAAAGGGAGTTCACCTAACGAATTGATTAAAAAATTAAATCTACTGGAATGCTGGTAAAATACACAGGAGATTTTGAAAATACCATAAAAAAACATCTACCTATACACCCACATCACTAACATATATGAGATACTCTAAGCTGTGTCACGATATGCCAACGAATAATTTTAATAAAAAAATGCAATTGGAATCCTATGTTGAGTCATGGAGTTTTAGAAACTATCTAAATATTTGTTGCGCCCGTTTTTAGGAACCTCAGGGTATATTTCAAAACATAAATCTTTACTTACTCCACGTCGTCGCTGGTGAGGCAAACTGCTTTCCACTGCTCTAGTAGGTGTCTTATTTTCTGGTTGAATTTTATACCATCATCATCGATATTCAATTTCTTCACAATGTTGACGAGGTCATTGTATTCTTGAGCATCCACAAACAGATTTTCATCATTCGTGGATTGAATAACGTGATTAGATAGGTTTCCAACAGGAACTACCGGGTTTGACATGTTGCTCGAGGAGGAATTATTTTTATTCAGATTCAACCATCCTCGTCCTCTACCACCGCTGTTCTTAGACATTTTTATTTCCGGACTTTCAGTAAGTACTATGAATGAAATTCGATATATTGGAAGAAAAATGATCTGTCTATAAACAAAAACAAATAGTAATAACTGTGATTACCGATAACTTCAATGTAAATATATTTTAACCTCACTTTATACCTTGTCTTATCGCTTGTCTGCCTGGCCTGTAGCCTACCTAATCATCCTACTTTCTACTCTCCCACTCCACCATATCAGTCCTACCTCCCACTTGTGAAGACAGAAGAGTAAACAATCACAAGGCAGTGTTGCCAACTGGATGAACCAATCAGTTCGCGCATGCACCTCATCCAAAATTAAATACCATAGAACTTATATTTTGTAGTTGGTATAGTGGTCAGATACCATAAAACTGAACTGTAACTATTGCCAGGAATCAGGATAATGCTAATTTTCAACCGCGCAACTTAGTAGATGGTACCTAATTTTCTAAATTTACAGCAGTTGATTTTTGAAAGCTGTGGTTTCGACCAAACATTTCTTAGCTTGAAATGATGATTTTAAAAAGTAAAACAAAATATCAATTTTTTCACGTACGTATAGTCACACTGAGTTCTTAAACGATCATTCGCGACCGGTCTAATCCATCCTTGCAAGTTGGAGTCAGACAACTAATGTTGAAGAAGTTTGATTCCGAGACTTTTTGTATTTTTTTATACATGTCCCGTTTCTGTCAATTATAACTGCGGTAGCTCTTTCGCTCGAACTACAATCAGATGAACTATCTTCCATTTTCACTATAATTTATTCCATAGAATTAATAATACTCGAGAGAGTCGGGACTTTTAGTTTCAAGATATTGGAGGTTAGATGGTTTATGACATGAATGAAAATATCCAAAAATATTCGTTTTCTCTTTCATCATGGAATGAACGCAGCTACTGAGAGTTTAATGTATTAACTGTGCATTCGATTATACAATTATCACCTGTCAGTTTCGAGTGCTCTCCACTGCCTCTTCTCAAATATTTTTTTCGATATTGATTATTTGTAGAAAATTTCGCTACGTTATGTTCAAATCCGCTACGCCCCTACCGTCAAATAAATTCCGCTGCAGTAACGGAAATCCGTTACGGTAACGGAATTCCGCTACAGTTGGCAACTCTGTCAAAAGGTATGCTAGGGGGCGGCACTATTCATGTAATTTTGTTGACCATTTTATGAAGATAAAACAGCGTTGCCGAAATCGAAGGGGGCGATCGAATTCAGAGAATTCTTGCGTTTAACAGTTTTCAAACAAGGATCAAAGCAGCTTTACCGCTGAATGTGGTATAGAGGATGAGACGGTGACGGTAATCGCTGAATCCAGCCGCTGTCGCTGGATGAAATGAAAACACTTTACTTTTTTGTTGGCTGCCAGTTGACAGTTCTGTTTTTGTCCATAAAACCCCCTTTGAATTAAATTTGAAAAATAGCATATTGAAGAGTGTAAAGTTTTATCACCGGAAATGTCAAATTCATTTTTCAGGTTTGTTGGCCGTGATCACCGACAAATAACGTTATGTCGATGGCCGTGATTCGCAGGTTTTTATGTTGAAATAAGATTCCAAAAGAACTCTGCAAATAGCCTTGATATGATTTTATATTTTTCGTTCATGATAGTTATTATACATACTTTCGACTGATAATATTAAAAAGCATACAATTTGGGATAGGTGGCACCCGCCAGTTTTAAAAATAAAATGTGTGTGTACTTACGTATTTTGTGCGACACAAACACATTTCCAAAAGCGTTGACGAAAATCCGATAATCATGAATTGAACAACGAAAGTTCTAACTTGGTTTTTTGGCACGCCCTTTTTCATTAGTCACAGTCATGAACCCGAAGGTCAGCAAATGCGATCTTTGATGGACCTCAAGCTGTTTGAATGTTTGCAGATCAACTGCTGAGTTTTCACAAGAAACCAATTAGTCTTCTCACTTAAAACGTGAGAGATGCTCTCCACTATCCCGCCTTTTTGGCGGGATCGTGAGGGTGCCACTTGTTCTTGGGTTTTCCCTATGTTTCCCCTTAGATAAAATGTATATATTATTTGTAAATAAAGAATTTTTATTTTTTGGCTGGTATCTGAAAGTCATAAGTTCAATTCTCATAGATTGCACATATTAATATTTATCATCCAGTCAATTCCTGAACTATTTTGAATTGAATGAAATAACAAAAGTAGAGAGAGAGTGAGATTATCCTGTTCGTTTCCATTATAATATTTCTCTCTCTCTTTTGTTGGACATTGCCTCAGGGCAGGCGCATTTGGCCAGTTCTCCTTCTATTATATGTCACTCATGTAGCAGTATATAGCTTCGTCCGAGAATACAGTTTGCCTTGCACAAGTACAGAACTTTTTCATAAGGTACATGCAAGGTTATAGGATATGATTTTTTTCAGGAAAGGGATCTTTTTCCCTTTGCTATATTTTAATTGGTTATGTAACATAAATCGTATTATTTCTTTAATAATTTTTGTGTTTAGATTCTCAAGTACCGTAAACATTGGCGGGTTGGCTGCTGTCCTTGTTCATCTTTCACTGCCTGAACCACTGTGCATGCTGTTTTCGGCGAGTGCATTTGCTTGGGATGTGGGGGTTGAGCAAACCGGCCATCGGATGCCTGCTTCCACGTAGCCCCGCTGGATACGGGAATAACAAAATCTCTTGTGGTTCTGTTATTCCCTAACTGAATGGCATCCCAACAATGGCTCAATCCTAAGGTGTGTGTATCTGTGCCGAGAGGATGAATGACACTGAGCCTATCAGCTGTCTCTACGGAACCTTCGAGAGACCTTCTTGTCACGGTAATGCGGGGCTCTGCCGTGATTGACCTTCTTTTCCTAGCTACTCGTGGGACTTTAATGGACAGAGTAAACTTAAAAATTCTTTCTGACCTCCCTGTAAATTTAATTCAGGAGCGAGTCTACAGAGGAGATGGATGTCGAGTTTACGACTCCAACTGACCTCCCTGTACATTTAGTTCAGGAGCGAGTCTACAGAGGAGATGGATGTCGAGTTTACGACTCCAACTGACCTCCCTGTAAATTTAGTTCAGGAGCGAGAGTTTCTCAACTCCTCAACTCATGATCCAACAACTGAATCTTAAAAAAAAAGGTTTGGTGGCCGCCTTGCACCAAATTCTTGAGCAGCGTACGCAGAATCTATCTCAGGTAGGGGAACAAACCCCCCATGAGCAGGTTAGCAAACGTTTGCGCTCAAGTGATGATTCACCTAAACCAGAGGCGAAAAAGCCCTACACGGCTGAATCTAAGGCATCGTCAGGTGTAACTGACGTGCAAAAACCCTCATATGAGAAGGTTGTCGTAGGTGTCAAGGTGGGAATCTTGCAACTTGACTATCCGACCACCTCATTAAAAGAGCATATACTTTATGCCTGCCCCGCTGGAGACCGTATCAAGTCTTTAGAGTTCGATGGAGCCGTACTCTTACCATCTGACCTGAAAGACCACTCACCATACAAACGAATCGGCTTCGTTAAAAAGCTGGGTTTATTTGGCCGAGTGTGAATAGGTGTGAGGCACAATAAACCCTTGCGGGTTGCGATGTAGAGTCGAATAGACCCACCCACTTTGTACCTAACCTAACCCTAACCGTAAACATTATTACGTTATTATTGAATATATAATACATATTTTGTCCGGGAATGGGGCATTCTTAGAGAATGTGGTTTATTGTTTTGGGTTGTCCTCATTCAGAATTTGGATAATTGTTAGCCCCTATACGAAATAAATAATGTTTGCAACTATGTACAGTGCGTTGTTCTGATTCTAATAATACTCAATAGGTATGTGTCTTCTGTCCATATTTGATATTTTCATGTACCTACAGCGTTTTTTAGGGTAGTCAGGTTGGCTCTATTTTGCCTTTGATTTGAATTTCATGTTTCCATTGTCTGTAAAATGATTCATTTATTATTTGTTCAGACAGGTTATGAAGTTTTTTATCTATTTTTATATCCAGTGGAATATAATATCCATGCTATTTTGAAATTTGTTATTTCTTGTACTTATTCTTTGTGTATCTTTCATATTTATAATCAGTATTTGATGATGTATCCGCATTTTTCAATCATTCTATCACGCTTTTTCAATCTGTAAATATTATATTTTCACAAAATTATTTGTGAATATATATTCATATGCTTTCATTTATTGTAATTATTTCCGCTTCGCATATGTTTGTATATTCAATCTTGCTGAAAAAAAAAAACAGTTCATTATTGGTATGCGTATTCCCATTCCCACCCTATTGTATTCTTCGGCAAATGATAAACTTATTTTTTTGCTCACAACATTTTTTAAGTTTTGTATCTACTGTATCTACTTTTTAATGAATATATATCATAGTCAAAGCTGAAACTTGGTGTTATTTCATTTGCATATTTTTGAGGACTTTGTATTTTCCAGTAATTGTTTTGGTTTTCATTCATGACATTTAATGTTCCCAAAATATCTATAATACGTAGTTTGAAATCAATGCGTTTTATTACATAATGTTTTTTGTGTTTTAAGTCGATTTCACCCGCTTCCGCGTTCCTAGGTGTGGATTTCATACAACTTATAATATCATTCAAAGGCACTGTATATACGTTTGTTCTGTTTTTTTATACATGGGTTAAACAATATAGCTCCATATTCTAAATGCGTTTTTACCAGGCCATTGTATGCCATTTTCACTGGTACTGGATTCGCCTTCCAATATGTTCTGCAAAAACATTTTATTACCTTTATTTCTTTTTGCTTTATTTACTATATATTCTATATATTCATCACATTTTCAATTATGTGTTATGCTTGTTCCTAAATATGTAACATCACTTGATAATTTAATTTGAGTCTGCCCTATTTTAATATCCAATTGGTATGCATGTTCTTCCTTGTGCGTGAATAATATGTTGGAAATCATTTTCTTTCATCCATGTTTTTATCATATTTAATATTATGTTCTTTCTATCTACTATTTCTTTTATATTTTTTCCTATAAATATTACCATCAGGCTACATATAAGTTTACTATGTTCAGGTATCATATCAAAGAGTGATTTTATATATATCCTATCCTACTCCTACTTAATATTATAAATGCGAATGTAATTTTGATTGTTACGGTTTCACGCGAAAACTACTCAACCGATCATCATGAAATTGTGTACACATGTTCTTGGAGGCATTAGAAGTAACATAGGAAACTTTTTATAAAAAAAATATGTAAGATAAACAATTGTTTGTCAAAAAATCTCAAAATCTAGCTACTTTAACGTCATCTAGCATCATCATAAGTGCTCACCAGTGAAATATATTTTAACATTTGTTGTTGAAATTCAATAAAGCATATTTTAAATTTCCGAAACGTCATCGTATGTAATAATTTTTAAAAATTGATAATCCCAGCTAAGCATGAAATATAGTTCTCATATTGATTCATTTCTATTATACTGACACCTATTTAATAGCATAAATGCTAGCGAAGCCGCGGGTAAAAGCTAGTATAAAATAAAATGGGACTAATTTGAAGTAGTCCCTTTGTATTTGATTGTGGTTCATGTTAATTTCTCTGTTTGTCTATAATATAATTTTGTCTGTTATTTGAAATTCTGTATATTGGGTAAGCGATATTATTTTCAATACCATAGGTATAAGACAATTGTAGAGTTTATGAATATTGACGTTGTCCTTCGCCCCCTTTATATCTGAGAACACTGCTATAACATTGTACGTATTCAAGATTTTATTATTTGTCAAATCAGCCCATCATTAAAATATCATTTGGTTCACCAATACGTCACTGAAAATATATTTTATGTAATATGATCGTTATCTGCTTGCTTACTGAGAAAACGGACTAACACGAATGTACCCATCCCCAGACCCAAAACGATTGCTACATAATAATCTTTATCTACAGTTTACGCTCCGAGTTTCAAAAGAAATGCTATAAAGGTCATCAGAGTTCGTCCTAATGGTCCTAATGGGGTTAAACCCGAAACCGGTAATTTAAATAAAATTAACTGGTGGTAATTAGACAAAAGTGTTTTTATTCGAGATCTCAAAATCAACAGAAATAAGTGAATTTAAGAACTCACTTCATTATCACAACTGGATTCAAGTTTATGCCCTCTCAAACGGGTAGTATCAGGGTTTATAATATTGACAAATTATTTAGAGAAAATCATTTTAAAACATATGCGTGGAGTATTAGAGCATTGTTGTTTGATAAATTAATTGGGCTGTTTATCTTCTTTCTTTACCATTTTTGAAAATTACAAAAGTGTGTTCAGTGAATACATGAAAATAAATAAAATATTGTTCAATAATGACAATTTTGTTAAAAGTAGTTTCCTTTTCGCAAGATTCAGTTTATCAGGCAGTATTTCCTATCTCACTTATAATTGAAACTCAAAGTTTACTTAATAAACCAAATTGGACAAGAATTTAATTTGGAGCACATATATTTTGTTATATTGGTTTCTCTCTATATTTGTCATTAGTCATTTCAGTGGATCAAGATTTTTCAACCATCTACCCAAACTAGATCCAATCTATTAAGTTGTTTCAAAAGTTTTGCCATTTTTATGAGTCTAGTGTAGATCGATCACTTCCGGGCTCATCTTTGAGGCTAACATCTCCGGAACGAAATTTCGCACAGCAACGTCGAACAGTGCGTTCATTAACACTTTTTCAAATGCCTGATTGATTTTTTTTCGGGCTTTGTCGACAGCGCTTTGGTTCAATTTGAATTCGTAAAGAAAAATTTGCCAAAAATCACTTAACGACTTCATATAGTAATAAGCTGGCAGAAGACAAAATCTAAAATTTGGAAAAAATGAACAGCATTAATCTATAGAGTACAACATTCTCTATCTATCAGTATATACCACGATGCAGTAAAACGGATATTTATTGAGATATTGAGTTACAAAAACATATGACATTAAAACGAACAAAACTTTGGAAACAACCTAACAGTAACAGAAACAACAGTAAAAACCTTAGGGAATTCAAATTCATTTTGAAGTTTAATCCGCAAGAAAACTGCTTGTATACTGTTTAGGAATTATTTTCATCAAAGTATGAGTGGTATTTGTAAATGTTGTTTTTTTTTTAATTGTATGTGACTACATTTCATTGTGCGGAATATTGATAATTGATTTATTTGAAACCGCTTCTCTTGATTATTCCCACGAAATATGTATTTTCTTGTCTTATGAAGAAAATAAACGGAAAAAATCTTATAGCTGCAGACATTTTATTACATATCTTTATATTACTGATGTGAACGACTTTTTCATCAAGCTTGATTTGGGTATTAGGCAGACTATTAAATTTTGTTTTGATGTATGAGACTTCCTGTTTCCAAAATAAGTAATGGAGTTATCGTTCAAATGGGCATTTAGGGCATTATTTTAAATTATGTATTCACTACACTAATGTAAGAAGATGAACCTGTTTATCGGTTCTAATAAAACAAACTAATACATCATACAATGCTAATCTAAATCATGTTTTATGTTCTGTGGTCGTTATCCGCCGCGCCTAAAAAACGTAGAAATCAGGTTGTGCCCAGAATGCGTGCTCTGATTCAACATGAGTTTCAAATGTTATATCACTATTCATATCTCGACCCGGGGGTTCCGTGTGTTAACTCGAATACTTATTGTTTGCTGTTCTGTGCTTAAACTGTGGCAAAGTCACAGAATGCGATGTGGCGAAACCATATTAGAGAGAGAGACAGAGAGAGAGAGAGACAGCGGGAGAAAGAGAAACTCAGATGCCATCTTTATTCTGTCACGTGACCCTTAGTACTTTGTGGGTTCCGAGTAAATCAGGTATGGTTAAAGAATTCATCTATTTTCCACTGAAAAAACAATTGTTAGTGAAAGTGAATAGTAGGTATTTTGTAATAAGTGATCCGATTTCTGATCCGCGTTAATGGAAACATTGGATAGTACGGAATTAGTTAGTGATTTCAGCTTTTAATTGTCAATACTAAAATCAAGCTACAAGCCTGGAAATGGCGTCTTTCCACATGGTGAATAATATAAATCGAACTCAATACGACAGAAACACAACTTTTCTCAGCGTTAACTGAATAGTTGGTTTTTCAAGTGCCTGGGAAACTGATTTTAGTTACCAAAGGAATGGAATATCCTATTTAAATTCTTTGTTGATGACGTGCAATGTTGCCGCTTGTACACAACATTTACAGCACAAAAAAGTAAAATTCCTCCATAATGACAAATAAAAAAATATACGTTGCACATATTCTTCATTACAATTTTTCTCTTATTCCTCAGAAAATATTCCGCGGATTTAATTTCCACATCTGATTTGATATTGCGTTTATTCACTGTTCATACTTTTCAATTTTAACAGTGAATTTATTTACACTGCCAGTAACTATTGAGTTGAAGTTACACTTTGACACAAACTTCATGAATCTTGATGGTTTACAACACAGCTAGAATTTCACCAACTTTTAACATTCAGTATATGAATTTTATACTTAAGTGAATTACTTCAATAAGGTAACCCATAGCTTATTCTAAAAATTCCCAACATTATGTTCAATTGTAGTTTTTTTTATTGGTGAGTTTAGTTCTGTAAACTTCTACAATACTGTATACTTACACCATCTCATAATACAGTTGTTTTAAAAATTTGCTCAGCAATTTTAAACCTTAGTATATATAATTTGTTTGCATAAGTGTCAATATTTTGTTACTCATCGATTGATTAATAATTGTTACTTGTTATTAAAGTGTGCATAAATTCAGCTTTAATGTATTTCTCACAATTTTCTTTTGTTTACTCATTCATTCATATCAAAAGTATTTGACATTGACAGTGTTCAATATTATTTCAGATTAAGCTTGTAAATATTACCTCTGTACATACTGTACAAAGAAAAAGATGAGTTCGAGTAATCGAGCCGCCTCTAAAGGCGGCAAAGGGGCGAAGGCTGACAAATCTCACAAGTCAGAAAAATCAGAGAGCGGTGAGTAGAAATATGAATTTATGGTATTTCCTTTTAACGGCTTGCTGTAGTTTTTGAAAAATGGTAACGTATTTTTATCTATTAATCACAAATATTGAGTCAAAACTTGGTGTACCATTATACTTTACGAGATATGATAACTTAACAGTTGAAACTGTCAAAAGTAAACTGTTTTAGGAACTCATTATTTCTAGTAATGAAAAATTGTAAAATGGTACAGTCTATGCTGTGTACCTTCATTTATCCTTTTCAAATGTTTTCACAAACCAAAGTAACTTTATTTTTGGAAATATGTCCAAACTAGTATCATTTCAATAGAATTTTTATTGTAAATATCAAGAATAGTGAATGTTGTGAGGTGAAAATTATGTTGCTAAATTATGAAAACTTGGCTTTGCCCTGGATTACAAAAAGATCTTTAGCTCTTTTCTTATTTTTCAACACATAAAAGTACCGTTTTTGCAAATTCAAACTTTTTTTTTAATGCTACACAAACTATCAAACTTCCTGAATGGCAAAAAAGGAAAGTGGCAATCCTTATCTATTAGCTAGCAAAATAAATTTGATATTTCATTTATTTCTATTTTATTTGGTAAACTGCCAACAGAAGCAACAAAAAAGTATTTCAAAAGTAGTTGAATAAACATTTATTGTTTAGTCATCGAAAAGATAAAAAAATTTAGGAACTGGTTGATAACTGATTTTGTATGTTATAGTCTAGACACATTTCTATTCTATTCTATTCTTGTTATTTTATAATTTCTATTGCATGAGCTCGTACATAAATAATATAGCGGTGAATTAGCACATTGGTATTGCGTGTTGGAAGGTCTTGAATTCGATCCCTACCTCTTCCAGATATTTTTCTCAGGAGAATTTATCAAGCTGAAATTGGAATGCAACATTACATGGTTGACTGACTGCGAGTATCCATGATGCTCAGTAAGTGGCTCTGGGAGGTATTAACATTGCCTACCCAGAACACGAGGCTAAGGACCAACATAGTCGATGCCGCTAACGCCAAAAAATAAATAAATGTTTACAGAATACAATCGTGATAAAAAGGTGTTATTTAATTAGTTTTTTACCAAAAGTGAGTTCCTGAAATAATTGTTTCAACTTTGTAGTGGATTTATCTCCAAAAGTAGACTGGGGCGTCAAATTTTGAATTGAAATTTTTGATCAGGGCACAAAAATACAGTCTGATTGAAATAATTTCAAAAACTAGCGCAAGCTTGTGAAATATATATACACCCCATAATGAAATTTGGTGTGTAAATTTCTATATTTCAGGTAAAGGAAACGAGAAACACCAACACAGAGAAGTAAACTCAAAAAATGAGGATCCCAGTATGAAAGAAAAAGTTAAAACATTGATTGAAATGACACAGAGATCAGAAGAAGAAGTTTGCTGGGCCCTTCACGAATGCAACAATGATTTGAATGAAGCTATAGAAATGATTTTTGAGTCCATGGGCATTGTGAGTAGTTTTTTATTTTGTCTTAATAATAATAATCTTTATTTCAAAGAGTGTTTTACACAAATCAGCGAAAAACAAAAAAATGAAACAGTGTCAATTTTCATAATTCTTAAATCTAATATCTACTAAGAATAATTTAGAAAGTCTTCTACATAATATTCGCAACTGTGACAAAATATAAAAAGTGTTCATCAAATAAATATAAGTGGAGCACTTTTATTTAGTTATGCTTTATGAAAAATACTTGGAAAGACTACATCATTCTGTCGATGACAATTTTGGTACTACTGACTATGCTGAATTATTAGATTTAAAGCAATGTAGATGAAACATCTGATTGGTTCACAAAAATTACCCATGTTCAAAAAATAAGTTATTACCTCCTAAATATTTTAATTAATTATTGGTTGACAGCAAAAAGACCGTTACTATTGAAGAAACTTCAGAATAACAAAATGAAAATACTGTAATTATAATTTCCTCTTTATCTGGACAACTGCACAGTTCTCAAAACAGTAATAAGTATTTCACTACACAATAATTTCTTCAAACATGTTCAATACTCAACATTTTGTGATTTTGTAAACTGTTAATTGAAAATCTCATAATTAAGTGTTCCTTGAATACGTCATCATAAATTTTCATTAAGTATCTGCCAATTCAATCACATTTCAGCTTATTGAAAATATGTTCAATAGCATTTGATGAAATATCATGATAAACATATTCAACTGGTGATTTATGTATCAGGATTAGAATAAATCTATTCTTGTGAAGCATTCTTACAATTTTTCTTATTAGTCAGTGGGCTGTGCTCGAAGACTGGCAGTAAACAAATCTAAAGAAATGAACTTTAAACGTTCAAGCCAGTCTCGAATATACCTACAGTCGGATATAATTCAACTCCCTTCTTGGTATTAGCCAGGGGAGTAGTTGCTTTCTAATAGGCGTCAGTCCATTTAACCTACTGTGTAGGTATATTCGAGACTGGCTTGAACGTTTAAAGTTCATTTCTTTAGATTCTTACAATTGGTTATTGAACGACGTGAAGTTATCCACATATATATGAGGTCTGTTAAAAAAATAAGGTGTGTTCAAATTTCGCGGGCTTTATTCATTCGAATAGCGGTTTCTTTTGATTTTTTTTTATGTTGGCACACTTGTCTCGAACATATGTTTGCAGTTTAAGCTGTTCAGTTTGCTAGTGAAAGTCATAAAAGTTAGAAGTGTTTCTTGTTTTCGGTGATTTTCAGCTATCGAAAAAAATTATTCAAAAAAATTTGCATCTGAGAAAAATGTTTACAGAATGTTTCACAGAAGGTCGAGAAGAAGTGAAGAGGCTTTAGCACATCAACAAACAATGAAAATGTTGAGAAAGTGATTAAAATTGTTATAGAGAATCGTCAAATCGTTATTAGAGAAGTTGCTGAAGATGTTGGTACCGTTTGGCTTATGCCATGCCATTTTTTCAGAAATTTTGGGCAAGAAGCGTGTGGCAGCGAAGTTAATTCCAAAATTGCTGACTACTTTGAAGGGTACAAAATATAAATTGATGAATAAATAAATATTTTTCTGTGAGACATGACAATTTATCCCATTTTTTCAATAGACTTCTTACACTAAGAATAAAATGACATTCTAATTTTTTATTGCTTCAATCTCCCGTTTGTTATACTGCTTTTGAAATATATTTTAATAGTTCGGAATAACAGATCTGCTGACAGATTTTCCATAGGATGGCCTCTGGTGGGGGGTAGTTAATCTCAATAATTGAATAACTTGTTTCTGTGAAAAAAACATGATATGTTCGATATAATCTGTAAGGCCTTGGGTAGGGGTTAGTTGCCCTAAATAATTAATATTTGAGAATATATTAGGTATAAGCAATCTTTATGGTCTGTTTTCATCAGATAAATCCAATGAATCATCGTCGAATGTTATAATTGAAGGTACTACAATTTCCTCGCCTAAATGGTCTAAGTTCCACATGTCCTATTCTTTTATAGCATGTTCAATGTTATAGCATGTTTGGAATTGACATTTTTTAAGGACTCGTTGAAATATTTCAACATCTTTTATTTTGAATCTTGTGTTTCTTCCTGCAACAAAACCCTCCATTTGAGCCCAAATAAGTTCAGTCAGATTAAGTTCGAAATGATGAGGAGACAGGGGTAGAGTAATAATATTTTGTTTCTGTGTCATTTTGTCGACTACATATTATGAGAAACGAGCTTTATTTGAACATACTATGGACAATAGTTCTTTTTTAACCATACTTTCATCAAGTGGTATGTGAAAAACAAGTAGCCATTTTAATTCACACACTAAGTATAATTTACTGATAATAAGACAGAATAAAGACGCATGGCTTCATCATTGATTCATATTCTTCGTGTAGTAAAGTACATGATCTGATCAAATCATAACATATTCCCCCCGCACAGCTTACCTAATTTAATCAGGTATGTGATACATTAAAAAGTGATCATCTTAGCAAGTATTGAAAATTCCAATCGAAATTCAAATTAAATACAACTATAAAGTCTTTTGATATTTTTAATATAAAATCATACAATGATTACTACATTTTTCACTTTTTAACTGACTCAATCATGTTCGCCTATGGAACAGCATCTTGAAAATGATTCGTTACTCTGCTGCTTAAGGGAATAGACTATAGTTTGTACGGTCTTGGGTGGGAGTCAGTTACTTTGAATAACCAATTTTACTCATTTCTATGAAATAATACCGCAATCTAATTTTGATATAGAGCCCTGATGATACATTCCACATAGTTTTTACGTCCTCAGGTGGGTGTTGATGAGAGGTAGTTACTCTAAATATTCAATTCACTTGTTTCAATAAAATTATTTTATTATATCTTTTTATTGCATCAAAGAACCCTGATACATTTTGTATAGTAGGAGCTTCAAGAGGGATTTGGTAAGGGTAGTTAATTGAATAGCTCCTTTTATTGAAATAGAATAGCATTCTAATTTTAAACTAGGTTTTCACAGTAAACTGAACCCTTAAGTTTAGTTCCAGTTAGTGGTGAATATAATCACTTCAAATTATTTGTCAATTTTTATCAAGGAAGGATGTGCTGTTGATAAACTATAATCAGAATAAAAAGGAGTGGATTGATACAACATATTCACAGAAAACATAGAAATTGCCTGTTCCAATCTCATTTATCTGTACTTATAAAGTCACTAACTCGTTCATCTCTATCTATCTATCTATGCAAATAAAAATGGATTTTTAAATATTCCAACTGGGGCGCCCCCCGTGGAGGTAAAAGGAGCGCATTTACATATAAAAATTCCTTTTCATCACTGTTTCTCTGTACCACTATATTTTCGGAGGCTGAAATTTTGTATGTTTCATGTTGTAGTTGTGCAATAAGAAAGGATTTTTAAATATTCCAACTAGGGCGCCAGCCGCGGGGTTACAAGTGATGGGTCGATCTCATTATAAAGTTTGAAGACATTGTAGGTAAAGCTTCTTCGGAACAGAGAAGTTTTGTAAGGTGGAAGCGAGATATGACCCCTATGACGTAAATTAAGGTTATGAATATCTGTCCTATATTTTATTTTATTGTAAAGATATGGGGGACACTGTTTATTGATTACTGCATGAGTTGAAATGAGAAAATGAAGTTTTCGACGATCTTGCATTTTTAACCATTTTGCGGATCTTAACTTGTGAGATATTGGATCATATTTACGAATACCGTAGATCAATTTGAGACATGATTTCTGATTTTTTTTCTATGCGATTAATATCGTTATGATCTAAGCATGGTCTATACAAAACGCCACAAAAGTTAAAGTGACTCGGGACATGTGTATCACTTAACATTTTTTTAAGTGATTGTGAAAAAACATGTCTATGAGGGTAAAGCATTTTCAATGAACAATAAGCCTTTTGAAAACAAGAGTTAATATGTTTTCTAAATCAAAGTTCTGTATCTAAATGTAAACCTAAATTCCTTGCATCACTTGTAAATAGTAACTCTTCATTTTGAATTTTAATTCTCATAATGGTTTCAATGTGATATTTGTTTTTTCCAAATATCATTACTTTAGAATTGAGTGCGTTGATTTTCAACTTATGCGCATGTGATACTTCTACTAATCAGTTTATATCTTCAGATATAACTTTTTGAGCCTCAAACCAGTCTTCTGGAGCAAATGAGTGATACAGCTGTGTATCATCATCGTAAAAGTGCACTTTACAAATTGTAATGCTCGAAATGGAATTACTGGTGTATATACTAAATAGTACGGGGCCAAGAATAGACCCTTGTGGGACCCCACAAGTGACCTTTTCTCTTGATGGCTGACCCACAGCTGTCTCCACATATTGACTCCTGTCCTGTAGATAATTACACAGACTAATAGCACTGTCCGAAAAACCTATAAAGTGTAAAATAGAGAGTAAAATTTCATGGTTGACCATCATTCATTGTTCTATTTAGGGTGAGTGGGAGACACGCGTGAAAAAGAAAAAAACTAGGCAAGCTTCTGCAAGCAAACAGGAAAAGTCCGAAGAGAATGCTCCTGCAGACGGTTGGGATGAGAATACTTCTCCGGGAGTTCAACAGGGCGAAGGAAAAGAGAAACCTAGAAACAGAAGCGGTCCCCCACCGCGTCTCCACCGTAACAATGACAATCGTGGATGGCGAGGTAAGGAACTTCATAGTTTCCAAAATGTATTTGTCATTATGAATAAATGAAAGAAATTTTCATTATAAAAATTGACAGTTTGGACTTTCATTCATTTAGTAACAAGCAATATATGGCATTCCAATCTATTGAAAACAACAACACTTGGGTGAATAGGAACTTGTACAAGACGTTTCGTCTGCTATTGCAGCAGCCATCTTCACTGGTGGATGCTTTGACAGCCCCAATTTTGTTCTTTCTAACCGTGACTCCAGCTGTGAAAGCCGATTTTCTTATACTCTAGCCTAATGTTCAAAAGTCAATAGCTACCAACATTTAACCAGATTCTTAAACAATTTAGCATTGATCAAAATTAATACAAATATAGATAAACAAATCATTTATTATGCTGGAATAAAATTATACAATGAACTAACGAATATAATTAAGAAATATAGTAAACTGAAATTTGAAATGAATTTGCAACAACATTAGTTGCTGAATTTCCTTTTCTAATCATTTATTGTTGATATTCATATTTTCTGTCTTTACTATATTGTTACCATTTCAATTATTGTTAATATTATTACTGACTTATTAATTTCCTTCCTATAAACAAATAGTATATTTCTCATGAAATTGATGGTAAATCAGTCAGTTATCGGAATGTTTCTTCAGGTCGTGAGAGGCAAGAGAACGATCGTAATCTAGAAGATTCAGGTCGTCCAGACTACCACCGGGACAGGGACCGTCGAGGCAGGCCTGGTGGTCCCAGAGGTGGTGGTGGCGGCCGAGGTAGAGGTGGTGGTAGGGCCGGGGGCCGGTACCCTCCAAGAGGAAACAGAAGTAATTCTTATAATAAGCCTATCGAAACATGGGATAATTCTAATTCCAATACCTGGGACAACAGTACGGCGTTAACTGCTACTAATCATAACACAGGTATGTTCAATTGTTATATTATTTTTTAATAATGGGTAAAGGAGAAATTATAATATAGAAATTTTTTTGGTCTGTAGAGCTCTGGTAAAAATGTGGTCTTTCATTGACTGCATAATCAACTTATAACATTGTAACGTATTAAAAAAAACTCTATTGACATGCCCGAAGAAGCCATTGTATGGCGAAACATATGTTGCGTTTTTGTGAAACTGTTTAGTGAAAATTTCACAGTGTTTTTTTGAATACATTAGTTNAGGGTATATTTTTAGGAGAGGTCAATTTTTGTATAAAGATGGAGAAGTAAAAAGCCAAAACCTTTCTTTCTCAAAAATTATCACTTTGTTACATAAATTACTTTTCTTGAGATGATTTTTTTTTTTCAGAAGAAACTTGGGACGAGTTTCCGGGAACAGATGAGTGGTCCACTGAAGAGTATCAAGGTAGTTTGGCTGATACAAAAGTCTTTACTCCCAGCGTGCAGCCTACTTTGGATCCAGTCACTGAACCTCCCGGCAATCAGGCGTTGCAAGATTCTTCTCTGAGCAGTCAACAGCTGGGGCAGACCTTGCAGATGGGACAGAGTATGCAGATGCCTTCTCAAAGCCCGGTACCGCCCTTAGTTGGTACTTTGACTGCTGCTCAGACACAGTACTTTACGCAGGTTTGTATTCTCAATTGAAATTCTTCAATTGATATGGGACAATAAATACTAGCTCATGAAATGCATGGGTTCCCTTTTATATTGAGCAAATTAAGGGAACGTACTAGTTTTTGAAAAAATTTCAATTGGACTTTTGTATTTTTGTCCACTGGTCCCGAATCTGAAGTTAAAACTTGGTGCTCCAGTATACCTTTAGAGATACTATTCAGATGTTGAAACTGCTGAAGAGTAGACGACTTCAGGACTCGCTTTCTTGAATATGTAGTCTGGAATGAAAAACTGTACAGTTTGATACGAAATTTTGAAAAATATGAGTTTCCTGTATATTTGTTAATTACTTATTCAAGTCATCTTTGCAAATACTTCAGAAAGGTAATTATGTGTAATGGAAATATCTAAAAGCTAATTACAATTTGTATAAACTTACAATTACCAAAAACAATATATATAAAGTCAAATTTCAGGTTTAATAATAATAAAATCGGTTACTTTAGAGAAGTCTCAATGATCTGATAATTGTAGAATCTTGTTTAATAATTAGTAGTTACCTGTGAGACAAATGAAATAATATTAATCACTTGGGTATCATTCTACAGCTGCAACAGAATAATGACAATCTCAGTAAGCAGTACGCCTCTCCAGGCCAGACGACATACGAGAAAAGTACTTCAGTGCAGTACAACAATGCAACGACAATACCTTACAACAGCGGCGCCGGAACGCAGTATAATGCCAATGTGTCTCAGTACAACAACATCTCGACTTCGCAATACAGTAGCACGACGACTCCACCATATAGTGGTACCCAACAGTATGGCAGTCAGGGCAGCAGTTACGTTGATACGGGATATCAAAATGTTAATGCCGGTTATGGCGTCCAGGAGTCGGTACCCACCCAGCAACCACCCAGGGCTAAGACGCAGAGGGCTAGGGTGCCCCCACCTTCAAAGGTATTAATATTTTCATTTTGAATTTTTATGGAATGTAATTTGAAAAGGAATTTTTATTGTTTCTTGTAAATAGTTCAGGTTTTGCAAAAAAAATATAACTAAACTTGTACCATGACGAGGAACCTTGAGCAACTGAACAATTCTTTATAAATTTAAAATAATCATAAGGGCTGAAACAAAAGTATCACATTCAGAAAGAAACATGTCCAAAAAGCTTTTCCTTGTCATGGTAGAAATCAATAGTAACCTGAATTGTATGAAAAAAAAAATTGAACATTTAAGTAACATCTATTGTTAAAAGATAGATAAATAATCAATTGAAAGCATTTTGAAAAGAAATCTCTTCTACCCTTCATGTCACTCTTTTCATCATAGATATCTTTGGGAAAATGGGAATCATAATCACCATATTTGGAATGGGGAATGTTCCTCCTGACGAAAATCAAGTAGTTTTCATAAAAGAGCTCTAAAACAACGCATTTTGAACTTATCATTTCAACCGTTTTCTTTAAAAAATTATTTAAATACTTAAAAAAAAGATGAATGAAATAATGCATTCAACATTTAAAGGGATTCGTTTCTATTTCACCATTTGGCAACATCGGTTATAGCTAATAAAGGGCAAATGAATCTGTTACCTGTATGAGACAAACAAAGATGACATATTTCAGAGGCGTGCTGTTCTGTTTACTAATGTTCCGAGAAATTCTGTGATATATGACATTTTGTGCACCTAACCTATCTTCCTCTATATAAATAAATAACAAAACAACTGTTGTTTATGTGGCTTGTGGAGGTGGTATTGAACTATAATTTATATTTTGCCTTGATTGTTGATTTATAAAGATATTTTTCCTTTTTTGAAGTAGAATATCTAGGTACGTATAAATTATTTCAACTTGATATAGGCGCCGTTGCCGATATGTGAATTGGAAACAAATTCCTTTAAAAATTAAAACCCAACACTTGAAACGTCAATTTTTCAATACTTTTCGAAGTGAATTTGAAAAACTCATGAATTATACTCAACTTTATTTTGTTCAAACTTGCATTTGCTGTAATAACCCAAATTGAGGAACATTCCCCATTGAAAGCATTTTGAAAATAAATCTCTTACTTTTCATGTCACTCTTTTCATCATAGAAAATCATAATGTCAAATATGCTTGAAGGTTTAATATAATTATTAGTTATAAAAAAATTCAAAGTCACTCTTACGTCAGATACAGTTTTTATGAGAAATAATCACCATATTTGGAATTGCATTAGTACTTTCCATAATTGAGTCCCAATTCTGTGTCAAATTTCAGATTGCAATTAATTGATTGCAGAAAATTTGGTTGCAAAATTGGATTTGCAAAATACATGTAAAATAATAACTAAATATGATGACTACCTATTATTTAAGTTACGCAAGTGTGAATTGAATTCTAATTGGATATTATGAATGTTTCAAACAAATTTTATCATCTCTCTTAATAAAGGGTTTTTCAAAAAGAATTGTAATAATCGTATTTGACCTGAGTTTGGATAATTTTATTCCTTTTTTTTTTCTATGATACTTCAAAATTGGTTATGGTTTACCATTAAAATTATTATAATCGCCCTATACAAAAGTGATTTGACAGTGATTCCTGGGTAAATGTTGATTCTAAAACAGGTATTGTATGAAAAATATTTCAATCTTATATCCAAAAATCCACATGATGATACGATGACGAGACTGAGTGTTCAGTTAAAGAAGGTTACCAGTACCAGAGACAAGTATTTTGTTTCGCGTGCAATGGTTACTCGAATGACTGTACACTGAGATGATCCTGGCAATCTGAAACTTTTTTCCTACACACCCCCTGCTAACTGGACCCTTCGGAATTGCTAACTGCTCTTCTATTTTAGATACCTGCCAGTGCAGTCGAGATGCCCGGAGATTTGAACTCCAGCATAGGCTACTTGGATGTGCAGTTCGGAGCGATGGATCTTATCGACAGCAACTCTTCGTTTGATGGGAATATGGACACCAAATACAGCGTCGGTTCTCAATTGACTAGCTTGGACATTAACTCGGTTACGACGGCCAGTCCACTGGAACTGAACTCGGCGAATCAGAACTCCAATCTGGATGGTTATTCACCTAAAAATAATGCACAAAGCAGTATTAGCTCCGTATTATCACAGAGCGTGAGTGAAATTTTTTACTTTGCCATCCTTATACTATTATTTGAGAGATCAGTATTAATATTTAGCTCTATTTTTTTAAGTGTCTGCATAATATAACATTGTGTCATCAGTAAATAAATGTATATTACCTTCTTTCACCCTTGCAGTAGTGTCATTTTTTTCAAACATGTTTGGACCCATAATGGAACATTGTAGTACTCCAGTATTCATTTCCTTTTTTTTTCTGAATACTCATTATATTTCACTACTTATTCCTACTGCCAAAAAACTTGTGAACCATTTCAAAACATTGTTAGACCATAATTCTTAATTTTTAAAAGTAACCTTGATCCAATTTTTTATCGATAGAGATCATCTCTGACTTGCTGTGTTTTTCAGCTCTCTAATTCTGACAGCATTCCACAGACAAGCGAACATCTGGCCAGTAGCACGTACAGTTCTGCGCCGAGGAGTACAGCTCAAGGCGCCGGAACTTCGACGGCGGGCGTCGCAACTGCATCTGCTGGCGGCCTGGAACTAAACAAACAGCCAGATAGCCACTCGTACTCGCAGCCGTCAACATACAACTCTTTCCCGTCGAAGGCAAATACCTACAATACATCTTCATACACCGGCACGACGGTATGTTTTAGTAGAATTCATCATTATTGTTTTAACAATATTCATTGGTCATCAATTAGATCATACAGAGTACGATATTCATTCCCATTCACAAAAATTTGAATTAACATTATACAACAGAATAACATAGAACATTACATTAACTTATGTAACAAAGTACATATAGTCATTATAATACTATACCATCCAGTTGAGAATAAGGCTAAAATATATTAACGTTTAATGAACACTCGCTTTTGATTATTTTTGCTTAGAGCAATTATATTCACAAACTTCTTTCGTTTATGTTTCTTGGGGTCAATAAACTATATTGATTTATATTTTTATATTTTAGACGACAGCCAGTTCGTACTCGTCGAACCAAGCAAATAGCTATGTAAATGTAAATAGTCAGTCTGGCGGCGGATATAGTGCTCCCTCTGGTAATGTGTACCCTAACACCTATTCCTCAAACAGCTCGTATCAATCGACTACGAATTCAGCAACATTCCCGTCAATCAGTCAGGCTAATACGTTCTCTTCCAACAACCAGACGTACCCCCAGAACACGAGTCAATCAGTCTATGGTGCTAATACAGGTAAGGCATTGAGCATGTTAATGAATTAAGAAAGTACTGAAGTTTAGTATTGACATGAGTAGAGTAAATAATGTGAGATAATATGTACATATATAGTACGTCAATTGAGAAGCAAACTAATATAATAATATCTGAGGATGCCCTATTTTTCAATATTTCATTCAAAAATGACCTATGCTTTAATAGTGTCATATGACATAGGCTTTAATAGTGTCACGGAAATCATCAGTCGATGAAATTTTATAAGTTGATTTCAATATTTGATTTCTTTTCAGGGCACTGCCACAAAATCAACTATAAAACCCTTGAAAACTTTACAAAATAAAGCAATAAAATGTATTTGCAACTTGCTATTCCTAAGACAAACAACTAAATTAAACCCTGAAATTTTCTGGACTTTGATTCATTGTTCAAAACTGTCATCACCTAACAAGAAAATCAAACTATTTAAAAACTTCAAATGTAGGGTTGGTGAGAGTTCATTATTCTTCACTGAAATAACTTGACCGATTGCATATTGAAAAAATAATTTAATGAATAAGAAACACTTTTGGCTTTTATCTGGTTCTATGGCATGAATTTTTTTTTAACTTGTTATTGTTTTTCTCGAATTTGAAAATGATATTCATTTAGTAAATATTTTTCGCTAGTGTTTTGAATTTTTTAACATATTTAATGTCTTTCAACATTTGTATCAATAAATTGCCGGGCTCTTAAAAGCATGTCTAATTTAGCGGCTGCCACAGACAAAATAAAGACTACCCACATAATTAAAAAGATGACAGTTGGACTCTCCAAGCCTGTGATATTTAAATATTCCGGTTATTCTCTGAACATGCCTCTTACATGTATATACACGTATATACAATATATACATACAACATCTACAAGCAATGCATAAACACATCATGGAATGTCAAAATGAGTATGAAGACACATTCTAAAGCAAACATTATAATATTGATAATACTTGTTTTCGCTGAGATTGGCTTTTGTATAGGCGCCTCGCCGTCGCCCCCATCATCGTATCCACAGTCGGCACAGCCGACGCTCCTACCATCACCCCCATCGCTCCAAAATTATAAATACAAGTGAAAGCGTAGGTTGTTGCTGAGATTTGGAGATGTAACTTTCGTCCTCACAGTCAACGCACATACCACTAATGATGTCTGCCGCAGTAGCAGACGGAACGTTTTGTATCTCATGTTCCATTCGACTACAACCTACCAGCCCTACATTAATTATTGTTATGTCTGATGGTTCCTTTGGAATATCTAATATAATCTAGTTCTCTTATCTATAAATCAACCGAAACAAAAACTAAAAGCATCAAGCATGATAACATAGTGTAAATGTATCATATATAAATGGAAAAACACGTGACACATTTTCATTCATATTCTCTTGAATATCATAGTATAATCAACTTGAGTACTTCGTGTATAATTGTTTTTTGTATCAAACAGGTTTGAGTAACTCAACTTACGGCAACACGTCGACGAGTCAGTACAACAACTACAGTTCCAGCAATAAAATTGTGAAGGATAGCTCGTACGAGAGCAGCTCGAATACGACGAGCGTCAGCCAAACCGCTACGACGAACGTCACTTCCTCAGCGCCGATCTCAATGTCGCAAACGACGATGAGCGTTAGCAAAACATCGACGACGTTAGGTAAGGGCGTCTACAAGATGTTCTTCCAAAAAAATTGACAATGTATTTGTGTTTCAGCTGCAAAGAACTCTAACAGTGTGGTGTCGAACATTCCTCCTGGAGTCACACCCGTCATGAGCACTCCATACATTATGGGGCAGGTGCCGTATTTCCAGCAGCCAATGTACTCTTACGAAGACATGCAGCTGCTACAGCAGAGGCTGCCACATATGGTAAGTTTAAATATCTGGATGGCAACAAATGGTTGATAGTTACCTTTTTGATCAATGATCTTACACCTCAATCGCATCCTTTCATATGTAGTTTCAATTCTCTGTGCTCAGCTTTGAATGCATATTTACTCAAAAATATCGGATCTCTCCCTAGATCTGTCCAACAATCTGAAGTGTTCATGGATGTGGTCACAAAGACAGACTAGGGAAATGTAAATCTTGAGGCGTTTTCTGGCGCTCATGTATTCAAAACCTATTCGTCTGTGATTCAAATACATTCATTTTGTCGTTGAAACGATGTCACATTAACTATGATTTGAAAGGTATTCATGATGGTTCGAAACCAGCGTGAGGTTGGTTTTGAAACGAAATTCACATTACGTCAGTTGTCAGTTTCTATTTTATTTTGATCGTTATAGATTATAAAGTGCTGAAAACTTTTTATAAAATACGTTATAAGGATATACAAAATAAAGCTGGGAAATTATGATATGCACAAATCCGATTCTAATTGGGGTAAGAGAAAATTGAAATTATTTTTTTATTATTGAATTTGACATCTGACACAAATTGAATCATTCCATTTTGGCGAATCTTATAATTAATGACGTCATTATGAATCGTTTTTGAATATACGCTCGAATATGATCGAACGCCTAAAACAACTTTGATGAGCTCTAACTTTGAAGTTAATGTAATAGTGTATAAGATTTTCGCTTCCACGGCCATAGTCACGATCAGATAAAACAAAATTCAGCCTGTTAGGTCGTGGTCGAATGGAGCCTGTTGTACCAAACGTTTCGTTTGTGACTTCGACAGACATCATCAGTGGTAGTAGGCAAAACGTTTGGTCATTCAAGTTCCATTCGACCACTGTCAACCAGCCTGGCCTTTTTTCTAAGTGAAAAAAAATGAAGTTGGTGGTAATTTACCAAAAGGTCTTGTACGGTTTTTATAATTTCTTCCACTAATTTTGACTATTATATTTCCTAACCGAATGGCATAAAAAAAATGGAAGAGGAAAATTTTTATTTTTGGAAAAGTTGAACATGCAAATATGATAAGTTCCTGTATTGCTTTTGTAAAATAAGTTCTTTATTTATTCAAGTATCACTTTATTGTGAGATTTTTCACTGAACACACTTCAAGCGTATTCTAATTAACATGCCTGAGAAAGCTGTTTTATAGTGAAACATAGTGTGTATATAGTGTAAATTGTTTGGTGAAAATCTCACAATAAAGTGTTACTTGAATACTTTATGGATTTTCATCAAGTATCGGCCAATTCCATACCACGAATCCTTCTTTAAGAAGGGGCATTTTTGTGTCATGCCACATTAATTAGTTGGTTCATGAAGTCGTAAATGTAAGATCAATCCCATACCTTACAATTAAGGTTGAAAGCCTGGTTGACTTTCTATACAGTTTTTGTAGATGGAGTTGAGGATATTCAGCAAAGGTTTTCGCGATATGCAGCTTTGGTAATGCCTGTAAATCTGGAATAATCCATATTGTTTATCAAACTATCAGAATTGAGGCGTCGGTGCAAATATCTTTTGACACTGTTTAACATATTTGATAATAATAATAATAAACGTCTTTATTGTATTAAATGACATATGATATACNCTTTACAATTATGAATATTCTTTAGAATATCAGCTGTGTATATAATGAAAAGAAGAGGTCCCAATATAGACCCTTGGGGGACTCCCGAAAGTATGTCAAGCGTAGATGAATATGATCCATTATTCGATATTTTTTGAGAACGCCTTAAAAAGTAATTCCATATAAGAAATACTGAAGATTCATCAAAGCCATAAAATCTTAATTTAGCACAAAGCAGCTCATGATTAATAGTATCGAATGCTTTGGAAAAATCAAGCAGTATCAAAGTGCTAGATAAGCCTTGATCACATGCAGTTAATATATCAGTAGTTACGGTTGCTAGAGATATTTCACTATTTCTACCCGGTCTGAAGCCACACTGGCAATCAGGAAGTAAGTTATTTGAAGTAAAATAATCATAAATTTGGGAATATAAAAATTTTTCATAAATCTTTGATATTGCAGGAAGCAGACTAATAATTCTCAAATCAGAAAAGTCCTTGGGGTTACTTTTTTTTGGGATCGGTATACCAACAGAGGTTTTCCATAGCACTGGAAAGTAAGATTTTTCAATGCAGCAATTAATTATGTGAGCAATGTATCGATCGATAAAAGGGCTACAATACTTTAACATTTTTGCATTTATATTATCAACTCCAAAAGCATTAGTACAGATACTATGTAAAAATGTGTTAACTTCTTCGACGGTTATCAGTTTAAATGAAAATTTGATTGAGGGATCATTTCCTGCCGTAATGTTTGAAACATCAGCTAAACTGACCAAAAAAGCTTACTATAGAAAACAACGGTAATATCTGTGAAAATTGTCATTAAAATATCCGACACCAGAGGATGATGAAATTTTTGGGAATAATGTTATAGAAAAGCACCTGTTACTATATTATATCATTACTCTGTGTTCTCAAAAATTCTGGTAATATCAGTATATTAAACTTTACTGACTTTCTGGCTCAATTGAAAGTTTTGAGCTCACAACCGTTTGGATTTAGGATGTATCATCATATGACTGTATTCGATCCTTATTCAATTTCTTGAAAGGTTTCAAAATAAGAATCAATGTGTTGGAATATTTACAGATCTAATGGCTGCATTTGCATGTGTTGATCATGAAGCACTCTTACATAAAATGAGTTATTCTGGTATTCATGGAAAATCTCAATAGTTGAAAGTGAAAATGATTTCTGATTAAGATACTCCCACATTAATGATATGCCTGCAAACATAATCCATAAAAACACCTCACTTCTATTTGCTAATTGTACAATAATTTTTATGAGAATACATAAAAGGGATGAGTCAAAATTATATATGAAAAAGTTCTGAATAAAACCAATACAATTACAATAATTTGCTCTTTAATGAGAGTTAATCTGTATCCTTGAACTTTAATACTAATGTAATGTTCTTGAGTGTGAGTAGATAGTCACTTGAGCTGGTCATAACATATTGATGTTCTATAAGGAAAGTCAGCAAAGGCAGTTTATCGAATACAAAAGAATTGCAAGCAGCCCATACTTCATGATTTTTCTTGTTTTATCAATTCATACAACCAGCAAAATATCCATTTTCAAAGTTTTCCATACAAAATCAGATTTAATTTTGAAATTATGAATATTTTATACTTATTTTATACCCAAAGACCTATTTAAGAAATAATATATTCGAACTTTCTATTCGTCAAATATATTATTGGCCGCCTTCAAAACAAAATTTTTATAGGACAAGTGTGATCAAGGGAGCTCTCTTCTGCCTCGAAAGAGAATCAAATTCTTCATTTGAATTATTTTCCCGGTGCGTCATCTTCGTTCCTGTAGTTGAACATATTCAATTTTGCACTTGCAATAGTGGTATTACAGAACTCTAACTAGTTTTCTTTCTAGTTCTTTCAATTCCTGCTAGAGGGAACCTGGTAGACATTTTGAATAGTGATATTTTGACCATCCATCTATTTCCTTTTCCTATTGGCGTTGGAAGCGGTTGGACGTGCTTCTCCAACATTTTTTAATTTTTGCGGAAATTTTTAGTTTTCATTTCTTATTATGAATTTCATGAAACGAAGAAAGGCTTCCTTAATCCATTGTCCAAATTCTTGGAAAATACAAATATTCCATTTCAGAGTAATTTGAACTTCATGAAAATTTCCACGTGGTTTGGTGAGTAAAACATTCTTTTGAAAACAAAAATTGATTATACAAAAAAAAAATTTTTTGATAAAACATTTTACCAAATTTTCATCACCATTTTTAGTGTCCATGAATGTATATTTATATTAAAGTAATAAGTTATCAAATCTTTGACAATATTTTATATTTATCAATAACTTGCATAATCAAATTGGAACCCTGTTGGTAAAGGTTTATTTTTTTGATTGATTCGGCCGTTACTTGATGAATATCCATAGTAATCATGAACTACAGTAGGATTTGATCTTCAGAAACGTTATTTTCAAAAATATATCACATGTTTCACTATCACAGTAGTTTTTTTATAATGAATGCTATTCACTATGAATAAGTTACTGTAATAGCGAAACATGTGATATATTTTTTTAAATTAAGTTTGTGAAGTTGAAGATCAAGTGTAGTTCATGAAAAAATCAAGCTCTATTTACAAGTTATAATCTTATGCTAATTATGATATAAAAGTTGATATAAAAGTCATATTTATATGACAATAGCCATTGTATTGACTTTACATAAACACCTTATTGTTCACTTCCAAACACCTAATTGTCCACTTCCGTAGTATGAAAATTGGGTTCATCTGCTGTTTGTTGCAAAAAATCAGCATGCATTTCTATACCTGAGGTTAGAATGAGGTATCTTCACTTCTGGAGATGTTAGGTCATAACTGCTTCGTACATTTTCTAAATTCTTCTCTCATTCCTGAATTTATTCAGTTTGAATCTTCAGGACGTGTTCATCCATAGCTTGTCAAATCTAGAAAGAATTTTCACAACCTACATGTTCCCTAGCCCATTTCACAATTTAGAAAGCTCTTTGTACATTTGACAAGCTGTGAGGAGACGAAAAAAAAAGGGGGGGGCATAAACATGTCGTCGATTACTGTGGACACTAGGGGCGCACTTGGGAGGAATGAAGTTCTCGACACACTTATTTCTCTTCATAGAAGAGTTGAGTCCAAAGAGAAGAATTCACTTCCTATCTGATTGAAACAATTGCGAGATGTGGTTATTATTTGGGTAGATGTAGCAGCTGTAAAAATAACTTACTCTTGTCTGCTCTTTTTTTTCATCTTGAGACTTCACTCGCGGATGTCTTGACTATCAAACTTTCCATTTTTCCAGTCTCTTCGGTAAACCATCTTTCTCTCTCCTCCCTTTAATGCTGTATTCACCTATCTTTACAATCTTTTTTTCTTTATTTTCGTTTTTTTCTCCATCTCCTTTCGTGCTCTCGATGTTCCTCTCTAATTTCACGTTTTTCTTCTTCCTCCCTCTTCTTTCCCACCTCTCCTTTTTCCTCTGCCACTTTTCTCGCCTTCTGTATTTTATCTTTTCTGTCTACTCTCTCTTTCTCATAGTTTAGCTTTCTTTTTCGTAGTTTAAATTGCCTAAAATAATTTGGAATAATGAATTATTTGTAGGTGACCTAACCTGATTAATGTAAAACATACTGGCACAGACTGTATCGCTTGATGAACTTTTTTGTCATTTCAGACAACTCCCTACTACGACATGAGTTACCAAACTCCGACAACTCTGGCTCAAGTGAGGGATGCCACCTTAGGAAACGTAGGTTACTCCCTGTCCGACGGAAGATTTACAAGGACTGATAACAACGCTTCTCCTGTCCCTTCGACATTGTCGCAGCAGACGAGCACGCTGACACAGGGCCACCAGGCGCAGCCAATCCTGGCCGGTACAGGCCCGCCTTACTTTTTTGCAACTGCTTTCAATACGATAGCTCCCAACTACCAGTTCGGAACTATGTATACGGTGAGTGTTGGTTTTGATTTGCAAAGTATTGAATACAAATTTGAGCCCAAGATATCTTGACATGAAATAATAACTTTGCTTGCTTATAAAAAGATATTTCTTGTTGATAAATATGTTGATAGTACATATGATATGTGTAGAAACACATTAAACATTTGTAAACAATCATAAATTTAAAATCAACTGCTTCTCTTCAAAATGAGTCACACATGGTTAGATACAAATTTTAAAATAACATTGAAAGAAAATATAGTACTTCTTGTTTAGGTTAAAATAAGAAATGAAATTGTAAAATGAAGTTTAAATATAGTTATAAAAATCATGCAATTAACATTCGCATAAGAACTGGTTACATACAACTAGACTAACAATTAATTACAGTACAATTCATCAAGGCCATAGTAGGATTTAGTTGAAAGTAACTCTTTTTGCACTTCCTTAATAGAACATTTCATTTATTTACTACATCTCTTTGCAGTAGTCCCAAGGTAACTGCAGAGGTAATGAAATATTGAGGTTTTTTTTTAGTATATCGAGACAGATTCTTGGAAAAAACTTTCAAATTTTTGTCATGATGACACGATGACGAGACTGAAGGATTTGGTGTCATACAAACCATTATCTCCGGCAAGTATTTTGTCGGTTTTATAAAGTTTGCGTCGACGCCTCTTCCCAAAGATGTTTCTGGCAATCTGAACAAACCTTATGAAAATCAAAAGCGTGATTCACTTACATTACCAAATTCACAAAGTTTTTTTTTTTTTTTAGCAACTGCCAGCAGCAACTAATGCTCACGGTTCAAACAACAACAATCAGTATCCAAAACCGGCGACGTACGGCTCGGGGTATGGTAGCTATGATGCCCTTAACCAATCGCAGGATTACACCAAAGGAGCCTATGTGGGCAACACACAGGCCCAGAAAGCATCGGGCGCTAATGCTTCTTCAACCGGATCGGCAGGCAACGATCTGTCCGCCATGTATGCAAAGTCTCACACGGCTCTAGGGAAGGTGAATGTAAGTGTTGATTCTTGACAATACATACAACAATAAATACATATTCCCAAACAACAGATGCGTAACGTCGAGATTAAATGGTACAGACAAATAAACCAATCGGGTTTAGATGGTATGAAACAAGCTCTACAACTTATTAACTGCCTGCCATATTTTCTATGATGATGAAAATCCATTAGAAGTATTAGTAGAAACCCTCAATAATACTTATAGTAATCTTGTTTCCAAATTTTTCCCTTTGAAGACATCCAAAAATAAATATGCCAAAAGACCAATAAACTTTTTCAATGATGATTTGCGCCAAATGAGAAATACATTGAATACACTTCAAACAGTCAGCATCTCTTCCAAAAATCCTAAAGCTATTTTCGTAGAATACAAACGAAGATACCAAAGTGAAATAAATTTGGCAAAAAGAAACTCCTACGACAATTTTATTCAAATGTCAAATAACAAAGTCAAAGATACATGGAGACTGATCAATTTTGAACGAAACTCTTCAAATATGGCCACTATACTACTACTATCAATCCAAATGAATTTAATTTTTTTTTTTTTTCAAATATAGCAGACAATGTAAATCTCTTTCAGCATGTAATAGCAGTACATTAGGCTATTTAAGTAGTTTTTACAAACCGTGTGACTCTTTTTTTCATGCTTCCTGTGCTTCATGAAGAAGTAGTGGACGCAATTCATAAACTTGAAAAAACAAATTGTTATGACATTTATCATTCAAACAGTTGAATCCTCAAAGAAACTATAAACATTCTTGTAAAACACTTCTCATAAATCGCTGTTTAAGTGGACATTTTCCGGATGTATTCAAAATCAGCAGGGTAATACCCATCCATAAAAAAAGATACCCGAATTCCCCTGATGATTATCGACCCATTTCAATTTTACTTTTTTTTGGGAGAAATCATTGAAATTATTGTTAAAGAGCGACTAATGCTATATCTGAATAAACACAATATTCTACATGAACATCAATTTGGATTCATCAGAAATAGATCCACCACCGAAGTAGTGCTTGAAGTTATCCAACAGGTGATTAGAAACATAGAAAATGGAAACCATACGGTTCTAACATTGTGGAATCGGAGCAAAGCTTTTGACTGTGTTAACCATCATTTACTTATAGAGAAACTTGAATTTTATGGTATCAGAGGATCAGCTTCAAAATTCTTCCAGTCTTTTCTCTCATCTGAAAAGCAGACAGTATACATAAATGGTAACTTATCAGATGAAAGATCTATGAATAATGGAATACCTCAGGGATCCATTTTGGGTCCATCCCTTTTTGTAATCTATATAAATGATAATACCGTACATTTCTGAGGAGGGTGGTGTGATGACTGCTACCTAGGACCTTCCGGGTAATTTTTATTTTTCAGTGCAGTGTTCAGTTTTCAATTTTGTTACCTAATGAATCTCATTCTGTTTAGTTCGTTTAGTGTCGTGAGTATTACAAGGTAATATGTAATCCGCCATTTTTTACCTGCGGTCATCTTGAATTTGCATCTTTTTCAAAGTGTACTACTAATCTACTAGTCAAGACCTGTCATTTGATACCCATGTTGAGGTAGTTGTGAAACAATATGTATGTAATCTGCCATTTTGTAGCTACGGCCATCTTGGATTTACAATGATACAGAATTGACTAAATTGCATTGGCATCATAACTAAATGTGTATCAAATATCAGATCAATCTGTCGTTAGGAAGGGGGTCAAACTTCAATTACTAAATATGACACAAACAGGGCAAGCTAAATGGAACCGTTTAATAATCCATCGTCCTTTTAGAGGAAACAAATTCGTAACAATCAAATACCAGGTTGTTCTAATTAAATATTTTGAAATGAAACTTCTGGATCTGGTGGACTGGAATGAAATTTATTTGAAAATCCTTTTCAACTGTGTATATACACAGTTATATATACAATGACAATTATAATGTTCCTGAATTCAGCTATATTCTGTGATGAAATGTTTGAAAACATAAATTGTTCAGTTATTCCAATGATATTTTTTTATTGCAGTCTTACGAAAAGCAAGGGTTTCACTCTGGAACGCCTCCACCCTTCACTGGGGCGTTGCACGGTAGTCAAAACGCTGGGTTGGCTCCCAGCGGAACAGGTTATCCTCCCCAAGTGTATATACCGACGATGGCGCCTCATCAGCAGCACCATTCAACTCATTTGATGCAGCCTCCGCTTCATCAGGTAAGAAAGAAGTAGATTATTGTAGAATTTCATTTTACTCTGGGAGTAATTGGGGATGAATCTTTGTTTTGCAATAGATAGGTTGGGTGTGATTAGTATGTCTTCCATAGAATTGATAATTTTCTTGCACTTGTAGAAAAAATATTGAGTTTTGATTCATTGATTGAATTTGTTTATATTTTTTTTTTATTATATTCTCGCCCACTAGGAGAGTTATATAACAGGATATTGTTATCTTTTTCTTAAAAATACTTTGAATTAGGATGCAAATTTCTTTATTTCCAACAATATGTGAAAAATTCAGAAATCAATTCAAATTCCATGTTTGAGTCCTTTCTCTAGTTGAAAGCTGTAAAAATGCTTTGATGTGAAATACATTAATATTTTTTTTTTGTTTACTTTGTGATATAATATTGCCAAAGAAAACGTTATTTTTCAATTCGTAATATATGCTTTACAGTTTACAGATGTGTTCAAATACATACAATTCTGAACATATTTTTCAGAATTTATTATTATTGATTTTTGGCTTTGCAATTCAATTGTCAGTTATTTTGTTTGAAGAATGAAATTTAATAACTGAAGGTTTGAATTGTGTTTTTCCTTATGTGAATTTTGAGAGACTTTTAGCTTATCATCATTTTGCATGTTATTTTCCTGGTGTTTTTTATTTATTCATTTCAATAACCCTTCTCTACTTCAACGGCCCAGTGGACGGAGTTTTTTATATCACATCGAAATCATACAAGTCAATAAAAGTAAACTAAAGAGTCATTTATTGTGCCTCAGGAACCATTCTTTCACTTTTTTCAAGTTGGGGTATATTTTTCGGCTGAGATAAAACTAGAAAAAGAAATTAATGTAGCTGGGGTTTACAACAGAGTGTATTTGCTAAATATATCAATATGGAAAGGGTATACCACCAACATTTGACGTATGAGGTGATAAATTTTTCCGAAATTATATTTTCATTTAGTCAGTTGTTGATTTACATTTGGTCAAATTGGGAGGCATTCATACAGAAATTATTTCGCACTAACTGAATCAGTAACATAAATTGACCATTAAATAAAATTGAAAATGTGAAAACATTCATGAATTATTTATTTTTGAAAAATCCAAAATTAATAGAGAAACAATCTTTTTGTTGACATGAAAAAAACTGACAAGTGTGGTTTTTAAAGTAGCTCGCCAGATCCCAAATTTGCAGTTAGTTTCTTTTTCATTTCTGCTCATGAAATGAACTGGAGATTCCTGAATATATACCTTCTTATTTAGCTCAAAATAGTGAACACATTTATCAAATCTGAAGTAAAATTGATTGATTTTCGAAATGAACACATACAAGTAAATATTTTATACTTTTTCCGATAATCGATTTGAAAGCACTATTCTGAATACATTCCTCTCTGGCAAAGTAAGTAGACTATATTTATTGATATCCGCTTAGAGAAAAAGAGTCACATACATCACCAAACTAGGAAATTGAATTTGATTTTTCCTTGGTATCACAGATATTTACTACGCACACCTTTTCATCATGACTTATTACTGGAGTTGGCTATGCCTCAGTGCATAAAAGAGGTTATTCTTACGGCATATTAATTGAGAGAGGTAGATGCTCTCTACTACCTCCATTTAATTATCACATATTTTGTCCAGTCTTTCCTGATCCTTCAAAAATCGTCCAATTTAGAAAATTACATTTTTTTTTCAACTTGCATGATTTCGATTATGAATTGCCTATTCCTTTAAATCGAAAAGGGAAGTTTCTAGAGAGTTTGGTGAAGCTTTTTGTTTTTCAACTTCTCCCATTAAACAAATTTAAATTAATTTAAAAATATTCATACACTGGGAATAGATACAAGAAATATTCATATATAATTATATAACCCTCAAAGGGAGAGCTATTTCAGAATTGGTTGTAGCAAACTTCCAGTAGAAGGAAAATAGCTACAATAGAAACTCGTGCACAGACTTTCAGATACAAACTGGAAGAAAGAACTCGTTAAATAACTATCACATGAACAATGAATTACGCGAAAGAACAAAGTGTTTTCCAAACAACTACTTTCATATAAACATTGAATTTTAACATGAACAAAAATCATTTTTTCCTATTCAGTTTGTACTCCAAACATTCATTATGGAACCGAATCACAATTCATAAGAACGCTTCACAACCTAATATATGAAGGAGCATTGATACAAAATGTACCTTACATGAAACACTGTTATTCTCAATAGTGCACTTTGGGAATTTTAGTACAAGACACTTGTCTTGTCCTCTCATTAGTTAAACTCGTGCACAGACTTTTCTTTCAGATACAAACTGGAAGAAAAAACTCATTAAATAACTATCACATGAACAATGAATTACGCGAAAGAACAAAGTCTTTTCCAAACAACTACTTTCATATAAACATTGAATTTTAACATGAACAAAGATCATTTTTTCCTATTCAGTTTGTACTCCAAACATTCATTATGGAACCGAATCACAATTCATAGGAACGCTTCACAACCTAATATATGAAGGAGCATTGATACAAAATGTACCTTACATGGAACACTGTTATTCTCAATAGTGCACTTTGGAATTTTAGTAGAAGACACTTGTCTTGTCCTCTCATTAGTTATTTTTTCTAATAACTGTATAAATCGAAGCACTAATTTTTTCATAACAACTTTTTACAACTTTATGTTGCTGGAAGAGACAAGAGCAGAGTTATCACTTCCGATTACACAAAATTGTAATATTATGAAAGAAATGAGTGCTTTGTCTTGTAATGTTACCCATAAATGGTGCTGTTGAGCAGTACTAAACAAGTGTCTTGTCCCGAAACTTCGAAAGATGTTCCATGTAAGTGAAATTGTGTATCAATGATCTTTCATATATCAGGTTCCTTCCTATGAATAATTTCAGTTTCAATTACATAACGAGTATTGGAGTACAAACTGATGGGGGAAAAGAAATTTTCGTATAATTCATTGCTCATATGAAAGTAGTTGTTTTGAAAGGTTAATCCTTTCATGTATTTCAATGTTCGTATGAAAGTAGTTATTTCAAAAGTATTTTTTTCTCGACGTTTGTATCTGAAAGAAACTTCTTTACATGTCAGACTCTGACAGAGAAAGAATTCTTATTGAAGCTATTTTCTTTCTCCCTTCTTTCTTTTCGAAAGTTTCATTCATTATTTGTTTAATGATTGAGAAGTAGAAAGATAAAAATACCCATCTCTCTCTTTGATGTTCACACCCTTCAAATCTGTGGCGACTGGGTTATTTGTATCAAATACGACAGCATGTGTGACTTTTTGGTTATTTAGGTTTTGTTTTGCTTGTAGATGGATGTCAGGCACCAAGGCCGACGCGTGGTAAGTTATATTTAGACGTGCCGTGCTTTATGCCTTGCTCTAAGATGTGCGTGCGCATGCACTGGTGTGGAAATGCTCGAACGATGTTAAGGAGTAGCTGTTATTAAAAAGGATGCAAAAATAATGTTAATATTTTGCTAGTAGTGATATGACGATATTTTTCTAAATAATGTGTAACGACTATTAGTGTCTGCGTGCTAGTTGAAAATTGTGTCCATTTTAATTAGATATGATTGGACTATAATACAATTTGGATCCCGAACTTTTAGTGATGTTTCTTTAAAGTTTTTCTTATAATTGAATATTTGTGACCGAACATTTTTTTTGTTGCCAATCTATGAAGTTCTGGTGCTTGGGCATGATTGCTTTTTAGCTTTTATGTGACTAACTTGTGATTTGGATGTCCTTTGCATGTTTTGGCAACATTTTCATCAAAACTAAATATAATGCTTACTTCACAAATCATCTAACTATATTACATGTTGACATATAAGTAGTGAATTGTACGCCACTGAACACGAGATCTCGCTGGTATTTTGATATCATCTGACTCTTAACTAATCTTGAATAAGTAAAATTTGGAATGAATCTATTGAAAGTACTTCGATTCGATACATGATGTATTTACTATTGTCTAAATAATTAGGAGCAATATATATGATTTTGTGAGTTGTCTCAAAAACAGGTCCTGAAATATAAAGTTCACTTATTATGAAATTGAAAATTAAGAAGAGTTACCATTCTTGAGAAAGAGACAAAAGACATATTTTAAAATTAATAGATAAGGCAAATTGTAAAATTAATTCAAGACACCAAAGGTGTGGTGTACCTGTACGGTATACCTGTATAGCATAAATAGGGTTAGCTTCGCAACTTCCTCTTGAAGATGATCACTAGGTGATCGAAACACGTCTCGAGGTGTTAAAAATAATGATTTGGTGTTGGGAATCTGAAAAATCAATCAAAATATATAATGTCGGGTCAGACAATTCCATTTTCTGCTTCGATAAGTTTTTTGGGAGTTGAAATGGACACTTTGGCACAATCATGTTGCTGGAATTTCAAAAACCCCTTCTCAAAAGCTTGGAACACTGTTCCTAACCAGAAAACTGTACACAACTCAGCAACTTTTGATACTTTATAAAGCTCAGATCAGAGCTTTGGAGTATTGTTCTCATGTATGGGGCTCTGCCCCTAAGCATACCCTGAAGTTGCTGGATTCCATCCAGAGAAGAGTCATCTTTCTGATTGGAAACGCGAACATTACTTGCAACCTTGATAGTCTGGAACATCGAAGAAATGTTGAAGATTTATCTCGCTTCTATAGATTCTTTCACGAAAAGTGTTCAAGTAACTTGACACATTTGATTTCACCAAGAGGGGTACATATCAGAAATACACGACGGACTGTGGCTGCTCATCGTTTTGAGGTTCAACTCGGTACACCTCGAACTTCACTTCAAGAACTGTGTTTATGTGGAATAAACTTTTTGAGGTTTCTCCAAATGGATTCAATCCCCAGCTATTCAAATCAATGTGGATCACTACTTTCGCACAGGCACCGCTCTATAGAGCGCCTTAAGGATTTTGCTGTATCAGTGCTTGTATTTTTGTCCTTAAGCTCCGCCTCTTAAAATGTTCCCTTGTACTAACGCTAGCAGAAATCAATATTAATAATGATCTTTATTCAGATAGTCATCCTAATTTACAAATATAGTTTACATGGCAGTAATTATAGAAACACTACATAATTATTTTGTGTATTTTGGTTTTGAGTGATCCATCAGTTCACGTTTAAAAGTTCCTAAACAAGTACATTGATTGACACCTGTTGAAAGATTGTTTCTCAAAAGACCTATATGAAATAAGAATTCATTGTCGGGAATAATTAGTTTGAGGAACATATAATTTGTAATTGTTGATTGTGGGAAGTAAGGGGGAGTCAATCCAGATAGTATTTTAAATATTGAAATCATGAAGAAGAAAAATATCCTGATCTTGACGGAAAGCCGATTCAGTACTACAGCATAGTCCTATGGGGGGGTATATCTGCAATCTAATTTCCTTATTGTGTAACTTCTACAATGAAGGTATGCAATTTGTATGGAGCAAAAATAGTAGGCTAGCACAATTATTGAAATGAGGCTATATAATTGTTTTGAATACTGTGCCAGCACAGTGTTAACAGTATAGTTCTAATGGGGATAATATTTGTTACACTTCAAAAGCAATCTCATTTCCCTATTATGTAACTTCTGCAATGAAGATGGTAATTTGCATCAAGCAAAAATAGTAGGCTAGCACAGTCATCGAAATGAGGCTGTATAATTGTTTTGAAAACTAACAGGTTTAAAATCTTGTGAAGAATAACTTTTACAATTTTGTTACTTGTGAGTTGATGCTGGGGTATCAACATTCCTGGACATGGATTTCGGTAGCTTAAGCTGCTTTCGTGGATAGGTCATTCTTGTACATACAAGGTTGTCTGAATGTCTGTCGAATTCTAAAAGTGAATCAGTTTTGGTTGCCAGAAAATTTTGAAATTCATTATCCTGTCAATTCAAGTGCTCCCATCTAATGAGTCTGAAGCATTCGCCTACAGTTTTTCGGCAATGTTCCCTATTTTTTAACATACTTATTTCGTTGATTACTTGATTATAATTATGATGAACGTTTTCTTTTATAATAAAACAATTTTTTTTTCTCTTCAAGCTCATGGATTCTCATAAAGACTTGTTTGGTGTAACAACACTTGAAAACTATTTTCTGCAATTAAAATAATTCAATTATTTTTCATTATTTATAGGACTCCGGCACCACCGGTGGCCAGCGTTCTCAGACATCAAATCAGGCGAAGTCTGGAGCAAAACAGTCCTATCAGACATCATACTGGAACCAAGCTTAAGACGTCTCTAACCATCCGCTCACCACCACTTCGCCCTCTCCCAAAAAAGCAAACAAAAACTTGTTGATTGATTTAAGTCGTTACTCCTCTAGCCTATAATGAATGTATTTTATAAAAAATTAGAACGAAAGTGAAACCTTATAAATTATTTTCTTCAATACTGTATTTATTTTAGTAGTTTAAAGGTGTTTTTTCTTACACTTTTGACTTTATGTGGAATAAAAAAAGCCTGTACGATATTTTTTTAACATTGACTATCATAGTTTTATTTTGCGTAAAGTCCTACAGTTAGGTTTTGTTCTTGTATAGATGTGTACGTTTTATTTTGGTGTGCGGAACGAGCATTTTTTTTTGGATCTGCGTGTTTTTATAAGTTTCAGTTTTGGCCAGTTTGAAAATTTGATTGATTTTGTATTTCATTGGAACAGTTAGCGCTTTTTCAATTTGTGTACATTATACCATTTTTTTATTGAGGCAGTATTTTATTTCTGCGGGAAGGTGTGTTGAGGAGCCACTGTCAATTCGTACGGAGTCATCTGACACTCCTGGGTTTATGCATGTGTGTTTCACTTTATTATACCTACTCATCTTAAGTGTTAGAGATAGAAGACGGGGTGGTATAAAAACACGGGCCGGATGTCGGCTTCTGCAATGTTTGAAACTTTTTTGTTTTCTGAAAGCGTGGAGTGGTCACAAAAACCTAACCGCGCACTTGTATCTCCACAAAGTGCTCTAAATCGATTATTTTCAAATCTAGGACTGGCCAGATTGCCTTTCGACCGGTCCGTTGTAAGAAATCGTTGGATACAAGTTTAAACTGTAAATATACATAGATTAAAATTGAATTTTCGTACTGACTCGCACGCTGTGTATCGAGTCCTGCCTGTGCATACGCTGTCTTAGATTAGGTGGATTGGCTTTCTATGATGCACAGTCGCACGACTGATCTTGTAGGCTCTTGTCTCCTTCACGGAACTGTAAGTCGAACGTTAAGGATCGCCGTTCCGTTATCAGGCTGGGAGTTTTATTCAATGAATATCATAGTTAGATTTATTAACTAAATATAAAGTATCTTATGTAACTATGCTATTTGTATAAATATTCACTTTATTAAAGTAAGCACTGTATATGTGTAGTTTTGTTTTGTATTCGCCAATAACTTATGAGATATGGAAATACACGAGGATATATAATTAATGTTTGTTTTTTGTTGGGGTTGGGATGGTCGACAACACAATTTGCATGAATATATGTTAGATATATATATATANCTTCGCAACTTGTAGTTGATATATCTGTAAGATATATCCCAAGAAGTTGAACACTAGTGTATAGCTACAGTAGAGAAGAACGTATCATAGCTTTCTGTAAGCTATTTCTTGAGATATATATTAATATGTGTAGAAGTAACGACAAGAGCTGTATAAACAAGGTTCGAAGCTTTTGTACCAAATGAATGTCTTGAAACATCATACGTACACATCTTCGGAATGAACTTCTACATTCTATCTCTACTTCTATATTATAATCTATGTGGTATGTGCCAGTGTATTGACCTACTTTGATAATTTTGGAATGAACAGTGAGCTACCTATTAGTAAGCGACGTGTCAACTCAAATGAAATTATAGACAGTTGTATATTTGAGGTTTTTATTGAATCACTCCATTCTGATGAACTAAACTTATTGTAACGAATCTGAAGCCGCCCCTGACCCATACGCCAACCAAGTCATCGAATAAATACACAACTCACGCGAAATAATGCAGTCTATGGTTTTATTTCACATCAGTTTAATTCTTAAGAACAGCGGGAAAAATTATCCAGGCGCTAATTACTACAAACTGAATCTCAATCGGAGATATCATGAAAAAAAATCCACGTCACAGAAAAGTTAACAATTCCAAGTTTATCTTCTTTTGAAAATGTTTAATGGTGTCTAATGAATGTAGAATACCAATTAAACAGGAAGTGGAATTTAGTGATGAGAATGAAACCCGCAACTGTGAACAAAAATTTGATGCACCCCAAGGAATTACCTCAAAGAATGAATTTGGGCCAGAACAGATCAAAAGTAATATTATTGATATTGTTTATCATGATCTGAAAGATTTCTGGAAGAAGGCCCCCATTGTGTGGAGGCGGATTGCTCAGTCCCAAAAGATTTTTTCAGCACCGATAATTTACAATCACTTGACTGCCATGCTAGGACAGATGATGATATGACTCGGTATTTGAAACCACTTAACTTTGGCGCAGGTAACATATTTGTTATAATGAAAGTTCACTGCAGATTTTACAATTAAATTGTCACAATATACCTAAATCAGTCTATTCAACAGCCAGACAAACCAAACAGTATTTGAAAAAATAGTGAAGCAGGTGAATTCAAGCAGCTTTGATTTCAACTTGACAGAAATTATAGACGGGATATATTCTAGCAAATGGATAATTTTTGGAGATGGCCCACATTATCAGCCATGAAAAATTTGTAGATTTAGAGTTGGAACAGCGTTCCCAAATAACTTGTGAGACCAAGCAGAAATGTATTTTGCCTCAAAATGACTATCACACAGCCTTCTAGAACCGTAAACTTCTTTTGGGTCCATTTCCATCAGTTCCAAGTTATTAATTACCAGTATCCATTTCTTGAACCTATTTATATCTTTATCTGGATTAGGGAACGCATGTCTTATACTAGATATACTTTTGCAATAAGGAACGCAACATTTGTTGTGTTAAACCATTGTAAAACAATCAAAATAACGAAATGAATAATCACTAGGGTACACAGTCAGACAACACCACAGACCAACAACACACGAGTGACATGCCGAAATCCATCTTGAGTTTCTTCAGGTTGAAGCCTGGCTCCCTTCCCCTTTTAACTGATGTTTGCCAGAAAGACAAACGGGTCATAACTGAATGGGTGTTAAATGGTATGGCGGCTTGAATGTCCTCAGACATCAGTACCGCCCTTCACGATATACCCCTGCCTGGATGGGGTGAATTGGATGAAAACGTTGTTCATCTTTCATCGGAGGATATAGGGGCCTCATACGACAGAGTGTCGGGGCCTTCTATATCGGGAGGGGTCGTCTATAGCATAATCCATAGCTTCCCTGACTAATAGGTTTTCATGAGTTTCTGCATCATCAAAAACTCTTTGATTTCTCGACTGGATGGACTGCCGAATGGAAGGCAGCTGCAAATCTCTGCGGATGGCTTCATTCCGCACGAACCAAGGAGCATTCACAATCATCCTTATTAGCTTGTTTTGTAACCTTTCCAGAATGGAAATGTTGGACGGATCCGCTTGTCCCCAGACGCCTGAAGCATACATGATGACAGACTTGAACATCGTATTGTAGATGGTAATTTTGTTTTTTAGACTCATTNATTAGTTTGGAAGAAAAACTATGTGATGTCACTCCTTTGATTTCAACTCGACAGAAATTTTAGAAGGAATATATTGTAGCAAAACGATTATTTTTGGAGTTGGCCCATATTATCAGTCATGAAAAATTATTGATTTTAAAACAGATTAGGGCTTTCTATATGACATGAACCTCTGAGATTTTTATAATTTCTGGTTTGCTGATTGTACCCACAAAGGATATTGAAAATCAAAAATTTTAGATTTCAAGGGCAATTATTTTTTGACTTGTGAAAGGTTAAAAATTTCACAGAATTGATCTAAAATTGTGTTTTTCTCATGTAAAAAACATTATTTTCTTTAATTTCAAAAAGGCATCCTTTTGATTTTTTTTGAAAGGTGATTGCTGATTGACTCTGCTGTTACTTGAACAAACTACACCTAACGATTTGATCTTCACAAACTTTATTTTCAAAAGTGTCAAATATTTCGCTATCACAGTAGCTTTTTTGTAGTGAATAACATACTAAAAGTCAATCATAAGCTGTTTTTCTCTTAACTAGCTGTCGCACCCCCCCTATACGAACGACAACCCTCAGAAATCAAAATTTGTGTGCGCTAAGGACTAACGAGGTCTTACCTTTTAACGTGTGAATCCTAACACAAGTTGAACGAAAGCATGTGAAAATCGATCGTCCGGCCTGTGGCTTGGTCTGCCGGTTCGCACAGCAGTCCATGGAGTGAGTCAACCCGACCGGCTACCGTCCTACCTTTACTCTAATTTTCCTATGCACCATGTAATCATCAGTGAGAACTATCTACTCAGGAAAAGTTCAAGTAAATGAAATAGTGCAACCTACCTTCCAACAGCTCCCATTTGATAATATAGTTAGGGAGCTAACTAATTTTGTTATTCAATAATCATTTCTGATTATATAAGAATCACAATAACTACAGAACAAACAGAACTGGCTGGTAACTCAATCGCCACAAAAGAAAAACAAGAAAAGGAATTTCTGGCAAAAACATAACAATCTGCACTGCCAGCAGACTAGCCAAATGTTACACTTGTTTGAGTGAGTTGATATGTGTTTTTATGTAAATGGACAAAATCGAGTATAAAGCTGTCAATATTTATTTGATTTTGAAGGGCAAAAGATGAGTTGGACTCTGTGTATGGGGACTCTGTAACATCATTTACCACAGTGAAATTTTGGACAGCTGAATTCAAACGAGGCCGTAAGAGCTTGGGAGACGAGTTCAAAAACTGCAACCACCGTCGAAAACATCCGCCAAAGTTCATCAAATGGTGCCGAATTAAAATGAGAGTGATAGCAGAGATTATGAACATGTCAAAAGAATGTATTCCGTAACATATTAAATCAACATTTAGGCATGAGAAAGCTGTCCGCGTGTTGGGTGCCACGTTTCCTCAAGTTAGACCAAAGACGTGTTTGAATTAATATTTTCAACGCTCTGTTGGCGAAGTTTAAGAGCAATAAATTCGAGTTTCGGCAACGATTAATTACTGTAGATAAAACTTGGATACACCGTCATGCACCTGAAACAAAAATACAGTCCAATTCATAGACTGTAAAGGAGGAACCGTCTCCAAAAAAAAACATATACTGTTAAATCCCCAATTTTTCCTCTCACTTATCATTGGATGCGTTTCTTTTTTCTCCGAATTCTGTTATACAGCAAGCCAACGGTCGTTAGAAAAAATAAATCAGCATCATCATCAAGACATATCTACTCAAGCAACTTGCACAACTAAACAACACCAAAAGAAATGGCCAAAAACCGCGGTTTTTGTATAACACTTTATAGTGGAAATCATACATTAAACTGTACTAATGAGTTTTAAAAGGATTTTCAAGTATCGGCCAGATCTATTCAATCAATATTTCTTTCATCAAGTCAACATTAAGACCGTGGTTCTGCAAGGTTCAGTCTTTGACCCTGTTTCATTTTGATATTTTGTATACTCGAGCGAAGACTCAGTCCGTGAGTTTCAAAGTTAAACAAGGTTTCAAGAAGTTATAATAATAGTAATAAAGTATACTTTATTGTCGAAAGATGAACATCTCGTAGACAAAGCAATTATAAATAGTTATCATAAGCAATGACTGAACAGGGAATAATTTTATATCATAATTCCATCCATATCTTTATCAAAATTGTCTTGAACACTATAAAACACCTGATCAATGAGAACTTGCTTTACAGACTTCCTGAACTGATAAGATGATTGGATATCTTTAAAACTTGTCGGTAGATGGTTATATATTTTAGCTGTATTATAGATCAATGAGTTTTTAATCAAATTTGATGATGGAATAGGCAGTTTTAATTTGTCTTTTGGCGAGTGAAACCAACAACAACATGGTAAGATGATTTGTTCTTATGTACTAGACCAGGGGTCGGCAAGTAGTTTTGGGTGGGGTCCGGATATTGTGAGAAAATTTTAACGAGGTCTAGAAAAAACAATAGATAATAATTAGGTGCTACCTATGTATTATTTTGGTTTCAAATCAAATTCTGAATTATAAAACACAAGACCTAAAATTAATGTGATAAACTACATTGACGGCCTTGAGCCAGTTTTTTATAGTTTGGTTCTCGATAGGAATAGCAAATTCAAGTGTGTTTTCTAGGATGGTGTCCATTAATCTCGAACGATATATGTTTTTCAAAAAATTCAATTTTGAAGAAGATTTTTCAAGCTAGTTATCTTGCAATTTTCATGTTTGGCCAAAAAGTCTTTAGTGGATACCGTTTTATACATTTGCAAAGACACATCTTCTTGCAAATCAATTATC